TACAAAGTATCTTTGCAAGTACCAAGCAAGTACCAAGTACTTTTACAAGGTACAAGCAAGTACCAAGTACTTTTGCAAATACCAAGCAAGTACCAAGTACTTTGGCAAATACCGAGTACTTATGCCAATACCAAGCAAGTACCAAGTACTTTGGCAAGTACTGAGTACTTTGGCAAGTAACAAGCAAGTACCAAGTACTTTTGCAAGTTCAGCAAGTTTTTCGCGAATATCTAAGCTTCTAGACGTCCGATTAACACGGGATAAGCACCAATCGATTCCAAATTTTATGGCCAATCACGTGAGCGACAGCGAGCAAGTAATATCTTGTTTAATTATCCATTTGAGTAGGATTGCGGGTTTTTTGAAGCGCTGAGTTTTTGCAGCGAGCTTTTTCTCTTAGGGCTTGCGAGATAGCTGCGTGCAGACATATCTCTTCAGCATTGCGCGCCACACAGGAATGCGGCTGATTCACGTGCTTTTGTGAGCGAGGTGCTTCCCTCCGGGAGAAATTCGCCGGCCACCGGCCGGCCGACGGCTGGAAAATTCCACCGGCCGGCCCGGCGGCGGTGTGCAATGTGGGCAGGTGCTGCCACCTTTGCAGTCGTCCGGCCAGAGCCGCCGTGCGCGGTAGTTCCGCGTGCGGCCGCCAGAGGCATATCGCCCCGCGCGTCGCTTCAAACCTGACGAATCTACAAAAAGTTAAATAACTTTAATAAGAGAGACGATAAAGCCACAATTCCAACGCTGAATGTTGGACAAAAGCAAAGGGATCCAACACAACCATCTGTATTTACTGTATTTACCCTTTTCAGTCAGCGATAAGCCCCAGAAATCGCACCGGTGCAAAACTCGCAAGCTGTTCACCGTCCAAGGTATTGCATTATAACCACCCACCGGCTCTCTCAACGTATGTGTAATCGCTTAATAGGTAGGACGCAAAAAGCAAGTGAGAAATGGTAGGTAGGTGAAACAAAATACGAATTGGAATTAAACATAACTCAAATTGCAAACATTTCATTGAAAACAAATCAAAACGATCTGAGACCAAGGCAAATTCGCAAAGTCTTTAGTCGTCTAAAGACGTCTGATTTAAACGTCGGAAAGGAACAAGTTTTTTGCGGTATTTTGGCAAGTAAATACCAAGTATTTTAGAACAAGTTCTTTGCGGTATTTAGGCAAGTAAATACCTTTGGCAGGCTTTCAGTACATTAGCAAGTTTTCAGTACATTTGTGATTGCCCCCTGGGGGTCCGGAAGCGGTGGGGAGTATGTCTTCAAAAAAAATTATGATTTAATAAATTTTCGTTCATCGGGGGTGTTTTTCTTTCCGAGATGGTTGCCGACCTGCGCCGTGCTCTGGAACAACCTCAGGTGAGTGTTTTTGGCTGGTAGATCCTCAAATGGTTAATTAACGAGTTGATTTTCTTGCTGTTTGATTTCTCTCTTGTTCAAGCGTAATTACACACCCATTTCAATTGATGATCGGTCCGTTGGCTTCAATCTGACCAATTCCTTTCCGCCACCGTTCCTTGCGCCTGGGGCTCGTCACAAACAATATTTATAATGAGGCTGGCTTGTCGCTTGTCAACATATAGTCTTCCTGCCTGGGATGGTGTCTGCATCGTAAGGAATTTTGGGATGTGGAGGTCTCCCCCTATCAACAATTTTTGATGCCTCCCGTAAGGGTCAGCCCTTAGCCACCGTCTAATATAGATTAATTACTGATCAATCCCTCTGTTTCTCCCCCTTTTTCTCCCAAAAAAAAAATCACATCCCCGTTTGAGGTCACCTTTATGCTGAGGGTCAAATCTCCCGCTGGTCCTTACTCTACCGACGCATACCTCAATCTGTTCACTGACGCACACTTCCTTTCATACAACGCTCATCCCGCTATAATGAATTTCCTTCCGAGTTGACCTCTCGGCCCCTCCCAGCAATAATTCTACTCCCTCCAGCGGTGCATAGAAGTGCCATAAACGTAAGTTTTGCTTTTTTTTGTGCTAAATGTAAGGGGAAAAAATAATTATTGTCTCAATCTTACCTCACAACGACTTATTGCGCCCTACTGTAACCTTGGATCTCTTGGTGCCCGTCCTAGCACCCTCCTTTGGCCCCTCTTGGCCCATTTAGCCTAGAACCCTACATCACTTGACCCGGATTACTTGTCTAAAGGTACGACGCAGTGTAGCGACTGGTTATTAGCGTTCGTCGACGGCTGTGACTGGTTCTTTCCCTCCTGCCGCTCGCGGCACGTCTCTGTTTCCCTACTAAAACCCCGCGGCCGGACGTTGGTTACTGACCCTTGCAGCCCTTCTGTGAGAGACCGTCTTACGCGTTTTCACTCAACGAACCGGTGGACACAACCCCTGCCGCCCAGACGACCGCAGTCTCACTGGGCTCATAGACAGGTACCTACTCAGTACTCTCATGCAGTCATGGCACCCGCAAGTGGCGCCTTTGAATCATTGACCGGTGTGACTCGAAAACTCCATGACTGAATCTATCCTGCAATTTTATCCGACGCCGTGGAATTCTGTCCTGCAGATGTGTGTTCAAGCGCGTTAGCGTCATGAGTGATGCATGCTGCGATCTTTCCGACGGTGGACTTACCTCATCTCGGCGGTATTGCTTCCTTCGCCTTATTCTCTATCATCTTCGTATTTGTCACTCACCTTCGGCGGGGTGCTCCCTCGCCCCTGTCTGGCTCTCTGTCTTCTGAATGAACTCACCTCTCTGTTGGGCGTCTTATGGCGTTCTATTTGCTCAACTATCTTAAATTATTTCCTTTCAACGAGGGACTATCCCAGTCCAAGCAGGTTTCGACGTATCAGAGAGTTAGAAGCACATAGAAGTGCTGCAACATACCTCCTCTTCGGCTAGCATCAATCTTATACTTCCTTGCATATCCCTGGTCTCCATGGTTAGGGATACCTAAGCATTCCACGGAAATCAGTTGGGTATCTCCTTACCTGTCTAGTTCATGAAGGTGTATTTCGGTGTCCAGCAGTCACCTCATCGAGATTCATCTTAATTGCAGTTGTGACTTGTACGTGTCGAATAACGAGGAACAGTCACGTAACTTTAATTTCCGCGACAATTGTTACGCCCGTCAGTGCGCCCCCACTTTGGTTAGCCTCATGAACTTCCACCAGTGACGTCATTGATTTCTTACGATTGCTCGGTGTGGACCTTGGTAAGAGAATTAACCCGTGGCGTCTTTAAATCATGGCCCATGGAGAATGGTATCAAGATAACACCGCAGGTAGGTTGCATTAATTTGGGAAGCATTGGGCGAAGTTCCAATACAGAGTACTGCGCCGGCAGTGGAATAGGGCCCGGGTTAAACCATATAATTTTGCTGAAAGGAAAAAATATTATACATACAAAAAAAAATTGTATGTCAGGGGACGATTTGCGATTTCTCAATTTAATCAAGGAACCCATATAGACAAAGATTTAAATCCCTCAAGCGTTTGTTCCAACCCTTACTATATCTTCGGTCACGTGACCGCCTTGGTAAATCCTTGTGTTTACAATGTTGTTACCTTAACAGGAAAAATTTGTGTAATACCATTTGAACGGTATTCGTGTAACCGCGTTTCAAAATTTGCACAACTTCGCTTGACCAAACAAACAAAAGAACGTGATATTTCGGGGTCTGTGGTTGGGCAGTCCTTTTGGGGCTTCGATTTCAGACTTTTGCCTACCTGGTGGCCTGATTAGCAGATGGGCTTGTATAAACGAATCATTGAACCTACTGGGGCCGAAACTCTATCCCTCTTTCACTCCCAGATTATGATATCCTGGCATGAACTTTGGCAGATTGCGCGAAAACTGTGTGGTGAAGGAAAAACTTTACGCCCGGCCGACACCGCAGACCTCGGCTACCAAATCGTGTTCGGCTGGCATGTTTATTAATCCCACCCAGAAATGACAAACAAGGCCTCTGATTGGCCAGTTTTGGCTGGCAGACGCAGAATATTTGTCAGCCATAGAATACTATGCTTTAGCACTTTTTCAATAATGACGCATACGTTACATTTGCAAGTTAGAGCAGCTAAAATATTGTAATGGATCTTACTAGTTAAATACAACATTTTTTGGAAGCCCGTACAGATTGTTTCTAGTTAGTTGGTGTTACAAGGTATTAAAAGAAATAATTATTCTCTATTTAATTAAGAACAAAAGCTTTTAGCCACTAGAATCCGCCCAACAGTCTCCAGAATCCTGCGTACGGGGACACCGCAGTCTCGGTTTCTTATGTTATCGCAATGGGGAAAAGGTGAAATTTTAAATGAGTCAGTATCGTGTTAGGAAGTACGGATGCTTTCAAAACTAAATGCCTTTCAATTTAAATCCCAGAATATCCTTTCGCGGAAATAGCCCTTCTCAGCCTGTCGGCCCATTCTCTAACGCTACAAGTCTGAATGTGAGCGTCTCATGCGTTGCTCACGTATCGCGATAAAAAGGACAGTGTCATATAATCAAATGAACTTTTCTTATGCATAGAGCATTTGAAACCTCACACCAAACGCCTCCTTTCCTTGTTTTCTACTGCTGCCTTTTTCACATACCTATTCAATGACCGTTCCCTCGACGTTCCTTATCGACTGCCTCACATTCAACGGCCATATCCCACCCAAGAGTCATCCCACCTACGCTGAAAACCAATCGGAGGCACTTTCAATCGTCCCTTGAATAAAATTGCTACCTACACGCATTTAGAGGAGAACGAGGCCCAGAAAAGGCATGCATAAAACGATCGGTTTTGGCCCCCATGGAATAAGCCAGCAGGCCTAACATCATATTGATTGAAGAACATTTTCGAGGACATGATATCTATTAGATATTATTTTGCAAAGGTATTGTAAACATAACGTCCGCGTATCGCAGCTCTGAATCTGCTGGTGTCAGTCCCATGCAGCAGCCACCAGACCACCGCCCCGCCGCCTACCGTTCGCTGATCATACAGGCCGGCTGTCCCAGTGTCTCATCAAACGATCACAGCTGACAGTATTTATGAAATGCCAAACAAAAACAGACACGCAAAATTGTGGATCATGCCAGCTCTTTCAGTCATGCGCGTGGAGATATATCGGTAGTTTTCCTATCACAGATCACACTGAACAGAGCAAAATCGTAGACACGCAGCAATAAATAATGCATTATCAAGTACACCGTCACCGATCGATGCATCGTGGATTACACCGAATAATACATCACTGCTTTAACGTTCCCCCAGGTGGGTGGGGGCGTTTTTGGCCACACCTGACAATTTTGTGCTTGCATAAATAAAACGACACGAAACTTAGTATAGCTTATGTATAATGCATCGATTCGCATCATTTTTTCATTTGTGAAAAAAATGTAACCCCATGTCACCTAAGGTCAGGTCAGGTAACCATGACGTAGAAGTTTGAAACTCGAGCTATTGCATGAGAGAATCAGTACCAACTACCAACATCTTGAGTATCTTTAATTTTGATATCGGTGACCGAGGGTCGGGTCAACTTTGCGACGTCTCCAATTTCAGTCAGTATGAGGAACTCGAAATGCTCTGCTTTTGAAACAAAAACACTCAAACGTCGGGATCTATCGTATGCTCCTGAGGTCATCTCAGGTCATGTAACGTCTCCAACAGTTTATTTTTGTACATTGATTTTAGATGGAAAGTGGCCAGAGCGCTAAAACATCATAATCATAGGCGGCGGAACGGGGAGGGCACCGGAGCACCGTGCCCCCTTTGATTTTGGCATTTTAAGATTAGCCCTATGGGCGTTGCATGGGAAGAATGGGACCAAAAGTCGGCAATGCCCCCTTAATTGAAGGTGTTCCGCCGCTACTGATGTTAATTACAATCTCAATGTAACGAATCGACTGACATGCAATATGGCATTTTCTGCGACTTTGACCTGAGGTCAAATTTATTAAGTTGACCTTGTTAGGTCAACAAGACGAGAGAAACGCAGTGCCGGTAAAATCAACGTAATAAAAGGTTGGTATCAAAAGTTTTAAAAGATAAGACGATTTCCGAAGCACGCCGATTGTTCCGTTTTTGCCATTTGGAGGTTTAACCCTAGTTGACCTTAGCTCAAATCTGAGAACCTGAAAGATTTCCGAAAGAGCTATCGAATTCGCTTTTCCGCGGCGCTGTAGCTTCTTTGGTTCCCGAGTTATGAACCAATTTGTGAAGTCGTCAAAATCTAAAGCCAAAATTCGTCATCATTTTACTTTTGGTGACCTCCAGTGACCTTAGCAATGACCTGATCGAAAATGACCTGTATGATTCTGAAGGAAAATAGCGAGCTATATATTGATTTTACTGCGTCTTTCCAGCTTTGTTACATTCCAAGATAACCTGGTGTGGCCGAATACGAATCCCCTCCCCCCCCCCCCCCCCACCAAGTTGGCTGAGGGCCACCCGGGCGCGGGTTAATAACATGGCGCAACAGGTTTTGTTAGCAACTTGTCCTATTCACACATAGGCGACACCTAGATATCACAGCCAACGCCTATCACCAACCTGGTGGTGGGCTTTGGCCAGCGATCGCCGATCGGGGCCAACGCGGGCTCTTACTCGTCCACGATCAGCACGAATGATGAATTACAGCTGCTCCAGACCACCACTTCAATCCAGCGTGTAATCCCCAGTCCACATCAGAACCACTAGTGAAACTCTACTGAGTGGGCCAACTGCACTGCATCTTTGACCTCCTTTGCAGCTCTGGCTTTTCAGAATTTGAACAGCCTTCTCTTCCCCACCCTTCTGTAGGATGAATATCACCCTACTGATGAATGATGATCCTTTGAAAACCTGGAAAAAAAGACAGAACAGTGAGATGAAACTGTTTTGCTATGGGTCTGTTCCAGTCGCACTTCCTAACACATCTAAACTCCTCCAAGAGCAAGATAGAGGAGGTTGGAGCAGGGCCCTCCTTGGCGTTTTAGGGGCGAAAGCTGCCACTGGAACAGGGAAGCAATCTTGGAGGAGTTAAGAGGTGTTAGGAAGTGCGACTGGAACAGACCCTATGACAATATCTGTGCATAGAACGAGCAGATGGTCAAATGCAAGTGTCAGGAAAGCAGTCATATTTTGTGATAGGCATGATGCAGATGTTGGCCAAGCTGACAAGGCAGATATAAGTACCAGCTTGTTACACTATAACTCATCATATTTTCATGTTTAACAGAGGGAATATAATGTAAAAAAAGCCTTAGCCAGATGAATTAAGTAGATATTATAAGTTCTATAGAAAAATGTTGATTTTATTTTATTTTATTTTTTTTTTTTTTTATAAATTTAGTCCGAACCTTTTGATGGGAAGGATTCACAAGGACAGAGCCACCGCTAAGCAAAGCTTGTTGCGATGACCCTGCCCTCTACCCTCCAATCGCGCAATTCCGGTGCTATGGCAGAATTTAGAGTCCAAAGTTTAACGTGCGCACAAAGCCGCGCACGGCCGGTCCCCTCGCTGACTTCGCCTGGCTACGGCCTGCCACCAACCGCAACCATACCTGTCAGGAGGCCCATAAATGTCGAGCGAAGTCAATGTTGTCAATGTCAAAGTCAAAGTCAATGTCAATCAATGTTGCATCCTACATTGATGCAAGTAATGTAGGATTTGTGGTTCTTAAAGGCTAGGTAAATGTATTCCCTGTTCAACAATTCTTCAGCATTGACATTGATGTCAATGTACATGCATCAACATACCTGTAGTGAAGTGATTCTGGGCTGCTTTCCTGAGCAGTTGATGGCCACGACTGGAATCTTAAAAACACAGCTAATTTTACCATTTTGTTAACTATGACTGAGGATCTTCTGTGCTGAAAAAGAGATAGACAATATACATCAGCTGATAGACATTGTACAACTCATTTGTGAAACAAGATCAATTCCATTTAGGGGAAGGTCTTAAGATAATGATGACATGAATGAATTTCAGTTTTCACTTTTCACCAGTCCAGGTACCTAGTGACAAAATGAAATATTGTAGGAGGAATCAATGATAATGTTTCTGGTAGAAAATGCAGGCATTTTATAATTCAGTTGAAGCTTAAGATGGAGGATTTTTGGAAAATATTTGCCACAAATAACATTGGAATCTCAAATTGATGAAATACTAGGCATCTACAAGGCATCTACAGGCATCCCAACACAAATCGAATCTTATTTGATGTCAAAAACAAATCAAACTGTTACCATTGAACACCAAGTAGCATGCTGAGTAGTCATTGACTAAGACATATGCATGTTACACATGGCTACAGTACTTTGAAATAGCTTTTATAAAATGTATGCACTCATGTAATCTAAACATGTAAATATTTCAGCTTAAACTTGTTTTACACTAAACCTGCTAAGCCAAGAAAAAATATAAATATGAGAAGCCCAAAACAAGTTATTGAGAACATAAACAAAGGTAATGTTACAATAAAACTGAGTCAAAACACTCAAAACTAAGTGTTTCAATGAACGCAAAATTGATGCGTGTCACAGAAGCAGCTGTCCACTGTAAAGCAGAGTGGGCACAGCATGGTGAAAGCAGGAAGTGGTGCACAAAACTGAATTAAGAACTAAGAAGAGTGCCTGACTAACTGTGTCCGTATCCCTTTACATGTAGGTATTTACAAAATTTGCGCACAACCAGCCAAAATTTAACTGGGAAGGAGGCCATGCCCACTCGCACATGACAGGTGTGCAAAAAACATGCCCGTTATACCTTATGCCTATATACATAAAGATGAAAATGTGTTGTGTCTGTGTGGTTAGTAGCACGGCGTGACATGACTGTTATCAATACCTGACAGTACAATTATCATGATATTATCATTATTGCAATTGTAATAAAAATGGTAAATTGAACTTTTTCTCACTTTATATAGCCAAATACCTGAGATTATTTTATCAAGTTTGCATACTCCAAAATCGTAATTATTCTGCTTCCTCCAGTACCTAATAAGTTTGCGCAAGACTATTTAGTATCCATTAGATGTAGGGACGATCATGACCACTTGACTAAAAAATGTTTCACTTGGTTCTTATCTGTAAGAATCTTGGTTCTTACAAGCCTGTTAAACTACAAAAGGGGAGGGGGGCACTGCAAAAGGGCGTGGAAATCGCCACATTTGTCTCAAGATGTTTAATGCATAATAATCGGCACCAAAATATCGTCGTATCAGTATGCAGGGTCACCAAAGAAAAAGGCAACGTTATTTATCAAATATCAAAGCAAATTGGCAACATCCAGCACAACGAAACATATAATTCAACACCTAACGAGGCCGGCCGAGTCCCCGATACCACCATGGCGACCGCTCAAGTCCAACTGGCCGGCAACTGGCCAATCAGGGGGCTTGTTTGTCATTTCTGGGTGGGATTAAAAAACATGCGTTCGGCTGGCGTATATTGCTCTCGCAATTCCCTAACCTTGAACCCACGCTGGTTTTCAAATGTTGGGTTTTGCCGCGGAGTAGATTCGGTGATAATTGAGGAAATTTATCAGTTTTCATTTTAGATTGGATGGCGTTACCAATACGAGTTTAGTATTTGATCCGAGTCTTATCGCAACAGCTCTTCGTTCGTAAGTATTTGTGGCGAACTGGTAAGTAATGTGCGCGCACAGATTGCCTCAGTTTGATTCTCCGGACTCGGTTCAATTTCAAATGATATATTGACTACCCTTTTTGTAAAATTTTGTAAGACACCTCATGTAATTCGCTTGTTTTTCCCTGCTAGACCCACGTGTGAGGTTCAAGTGTGAGTTCACTGCACAATAGGAATGGGTCGTTGTACTATTATTGAGCAGAATTTGTTCAGGTCGGATATAATTGCACTCAGTCCAAAAAAAATGCAAGTTATTCAGCATATATCACTTGATATAATGAGTGGTCGCTTTTGCCATGATCAAATAATTAAAATCAAATGATTTAAACAATACAGTGATTCCGAAATGCGGATGAGTTGATCAGGTCCCTGCAGGGTGGGGTGTGGACCCTTCAAGATTAAATTGGTAGCCTTACTTCTTGGTTGGTATTTAAATGGAAATCTGGATAAGCCAAATTTTTGATGCCTTCCTGATATACCTGTTACAATTTAGTAATAGTCTGCCACCTGCAAATTCCGACTAGGTACCTACTCTTCAGAACAGCAACCACAGTCATTGCAGTGATGACGTTTGGTGGTTTGACATGTTGCACATGAGGTCGAGGTGGAGGTTATCTGAGGCTCGGCACGGCAAGGTCACATAGTTGCTCATGCCCATCAGCCACCAGCTGTGTCAATAGCAACCGGACGGGTGATCCTTGATGTTTACCAGGCCAGCTGTGGGGAGTGCTTGTGGCAAAGAAAAATGAATGAACTCACCTTGGTGTATGTTAACTGAGCTATCATGTAATCCTTCTAATTTACATATGTGAATGATTTAACAAATGTTTGTACAAGGGGTGTAATCAAAGTACCTTCTATGGAGATGCTGCTCTCATGCTGGGAGTAGGGCTGGGGTTCAAATTCCCGTTAGTTTGTCTCTGGCTGTTAAGTCCTTGATGCGGTGTGATGGAGCATGTCTGACTCAAACACAAACGCAATTGGTTGCCCAGATTTGAGTGGGATCACGCCTACGTCCTGTTCATTGTGTCAAAACTTATCTTTGTGCGGGGATCAATCACTCACATAATTGCCATCAATCAGTGAAAAGATTCAATATCATGAGCTTACATGAAATGATGCTTAGAAAATTTCACCTATGGCTATCACCTATGGCAGATGGCCTCACAAATTTATCTAAATTTTGGTACACAGAAGTTTAACCTATAGCCAATTGAAACCATCAAACACTTAAAAATTCACTCGAACTGGACTGATACAACGCGCAAATGACACCGAAAGTAGACCGGGCGCTGTCCGAACCTCACAGCCGCTTCCCTGGCTCCTAATGTTACTGGAATCTGACAGTCTGCAATTCAGTGAGTATTACAGCAATAGTTCCCTCAATTCTCGTTCATTGAAGATGCAACCCGCTAGTTGACACAATGGGGCATTTCAATTCCTACTTTAGTTAAGTGCTGTTCGCCATGTTTGACTGGAGTAACGTGCCCGTTTCATAACTCAGGGTTCTACCTTGAGACACAGTAACCCACCTCTCTCCGATTTTGACCAATATTGTGGATTAGTGTGAGGACCTCTAAGGTACTCGCACCGACTGACAGACTTTTTACCATGCTAAATGAGTTCACCCCTTCAACGACCAGCGATTTGCCGTTACGTTCACCAATGTTAACACGATTCTTCAGATGGATGGGATCGGACGTTGCTATTTGATAATTGGTAGATTTGACCTGACTCGAATTATCATTTCTTCCCAGTCAGGATGATCAACGGCGCGCCGGATTTTGTTCGTGTCGGGGGCACAACTGAGAGCTGTATGAATCGCCGCGCTTCCCCGGTCGGCGGTGGTATCGGCGGCATCCATGGCGTGAGATTCAACGACTTCCTTGATCGATCTGTATCGTTAAGAATAAGATCAGATCAATCTGGCTCTCAAGAGATAGTGTAATTCACCCAGCTGCTAGAACCTTGAGATATTCTTATGCTTACAAGGGCTAAATTTGGTTAACTCAGGTTAATTCAAAGTTGTTAATGTATTAAGATACCGGAATAAAGCAGAGCTTTGCGTCGTTATCACGATTTTTCTGACTTACTGGTAGGATTATACGCACAATCATGGATCACCACTGCGATCTCTCACGGCAGGGCTGGAAACTAAAGCTTGGTATACCGGACGCTAGGTGGCGAGCGAGTGCTTAGCTTGTCTGCGTGGTGGCACTGGCAACGGAACGCGTGTGGTCGGCGCTGGGTAATTCCTTGTAGGTGGCGCTAGTGGCGTGTCGTTCTGACCAGGGGTCACACCGCAAGTGGAATTGACGCTTGTGCATGCCAAAGTGGCCCTTCCTTTTCGTGCTGGTGGGATGGGTTTTGCAGTAAGCCAGGCAGTAAGCTTCGCGCGGAACCGTGAAAGATTAACGAAAACCCGAGCTAACCGCATCGAACTGAGGTCCAATTATGAACGTTACTGAGTTCGTTGCACGAACCCCTTTGTCGTTGTTGAATAATTTTAAGGTCGTGCCGCGCGTTCAGGGGTCTGGGAAGGCGATACTTAAACTTGATAAGACAAACATGATTTAGAATGCTGATTACTACGGAGTGGGAAACCCCCTTATCACTTGTCCTGTAACCTATTCTTGTTAGAGAAATCCTGCCTTAACACGTGTTGAACGGTTTGTAATACGTATTGAACGGTTCGATTGGGACGATTTCAAGATACAAAAAAAAGTTCTTACTCAGATTTTGGGCTTCTGAAGTCTTTCTACATCAACTCTAGGCGCGCCACCAATTAACCACTGGCATAAGAAGTACCTAGATGTGACCACTTTGCACTCCTCTCAATAACGTAAGGCGTCTATCATGGGTATGACAAAATGCGTAAAAGTAAGCTATGACTGGTTTGGGTTCTCAATGCAAGGATAAATGTAACCGATCGCTGAAGATATCCTTGCCCAGGGACCAAGCGCTGATTTACAGGAATTTACATGATGATATGCCATGAGCTGCGCCTCTTGTTTCACCTTACTTTAAAGGTTGGTTTTATTGACTCCTTGAGACATTTCATTAATAGACGGCATTATATTAGGCGCTTAAGTTACTACTGGCGGCGATCTTACGTTAAATTTCAATTCAAGTCTGGGGTGCGTGGGTTCGTCACATCTTTATGAACGCTGATGGTAATTAGGCGAAACAAGGCATGATTTGGTAGGATGACGGTTGGTGAGGCGGATATTCACTTACAGGTGAAAAAGAACATTTTGGAACTTTGCATAGAATATAAAATATTGTATGCTAGTGACTGGAATTAGTACCAATTGACAGTTTATTTCGTGAAAAATCTAGACGACATTAATCTGATCTGTTTCGGTATACCCAATGGACCGCACAGTGAAGTGTTACTGACTCAAATCTGGGTTATAAGCCAAGCCAGGCGCTGATAGCTCCGTCGTGGTGACCGTTGACCCCCTGGCCCGACCGACCGCTCCGCTGCGTGTAGTGTTCAACCCTGGTCGTTCTGTGCGTGATGCGTGGCGTCATAATTTGACCATCTGACCACTAATCGGAAGTGGTTGTTTCTGGCGTCAGTGACCTCCTTGATACTCGTCTCGCAACGCAAAACAGCTACCCATTTCCCTTTCCCAGACAGGTTGTTTAAATTTTCACGCTTTATTTTACACTACACGGACAATTTATGACAACTAACCAATGTGCTATTGGTAAATCGTACTCGAGATTGTCAACTTGTCAATCCCGTTGTTTACTTAAACCTAAGCCTAACAGGCGCGGCCTACCTTAATGCTAAACTTAATTAGTGACATCATCGCGGCGCATCAGGTGACACAAAGTCTAGGGGTGGGGTCGTTGGCGGCCCGCTGACTCGGCAGACGGGGTTTGTGCCGCACAGCGTCACTTGTGACCCGACTCCCCTCCTACGCCCTGTCCTAATTCACACCCTACCATCGCGACCGGTTACAAGGGCCAGAAATAGCCAGTAAATGGTCCTCGTTCCGATACAGATTTGAAAAGCGAGCCCTCGCCACTCGCTGGCAAGGCGGGACCCGGATACAGTGAAACCATTACGCTGACCCTCTTCCCTCAGCTGCACCTAAACTTTCCTACCCTCCCATTATCCTACCCCATCCTCACACCTACCCCCGGCCCTGGCGGTCGCGTACAAAGGAACGTAAATGGTTGGCAAATGGTCCCGGCTCCGACACAAATGTAAATGGACCATTGCCGCCTCCGGCAGTGCGGCACCACCCCACGATTCCCATCATTATGCCCCACAGCTGTCCCTATCTGCTAATGGTGGCAAGGCCTGACCCCTACGGGACGGTAGGTCTAGACTGGGGTAGACGCCCGGTAGATATGGGGGGAGGGGGAGAGAATGCGTCTGTGGTGGGCATGGCTGGAGGGCTGGGAGTGGCAGGCAGCCTTCTGCTGATGACTCACTTGATTTTGGCGGCGTCGAAGATTGGTCTTGTTCTTGATGAGTGTTGCACCAGAGAGTCAGAGGAAGAGAGCACTGGTCCAGCCGGCAGAGACTCCCCGGGTGTTCTGTGTCTCTCCTCTTCTGCGGCCCGGTTTTTATTCCTTTCGTTATCCGGTTCCGGCGGGGGGTCGATTTCTGTGACCGGGACAGTTAATCGGTCCTTTCCTGGCTGATCTCCGGCTGCAGCCCCTGACCGGGGCTTCGAGAGGAAGCGTGTCCGGCGCGGCCGAAGCTTCGGATTTCTCCCCTCCTCCGCTGTTTCCGCTGGAGTCGTCCCCCTCGCCGGTGTCGGATGTGACGTTTTCACACTCGATTTCCGCCGGGTGTCGGTTCTTGACTGCACCGGACGCGGCGCTTTCTTCGCACCAGCCTGCACCGGATGCCCTTCCTGCCCTGGCTCCAGCGATGGTGGGGGCGGCTGGCCCATACAGCTGCTGTGAACGGATGTCGAGGCGCCAGCATGTCGGCCCGGGCTCGGCGTCGGGTGGGGTTTGTTTGCGCTACTGTCGGCGAGCGTTTTGATCTTGGAGCGTCAGCCGCCTTAATGGAAGCAGCTGCTCGGGCGTGTGACCCGGTCTCCTCCTTGGTCCCGGCGTCCCGGCAGACAGGGTACTATGTGAGGCAGTTTATATGTATGAAAAATGTAAGATTTTGATGAAAAAAAAATGTTACAGCATTCAGCTGTTACACATTACCAAGTAGCAGGTGATACAGCAAGCTGGCAGGTATTTTGGCAAGTTCAACAAGTTTTTCGCGAATATCTAAGCTTCTAGACGTCCGATCAACACGGGACAAACACCAATCGGTCCCAAATTTTCTCCTTAATCATTTTATGGCCAACGCGACGCGTAGCGAGCCAAGATTGCGAGATATCTGCGTGCAGACATATCTCTTCAGCATTGCGAAGGACACAGGAATGTGGCTGATTCACGTGCGATTGTGAGTGAGGTACCCCCAGTTTGAAGATTCGGCTGTAGAATATGTAGTTTTAAATACGTAGTTTGACGTAGATCTCGGAAAAGTGAGATACGGCCAGAAATGAGTGTGGGTCCCTCCGTTCTGAAGATTCTGATCGGCGCCGATTGAAATAATTCGCCGTGCATATCTCGGCTTATTGACGACCGATTGACACGGGACAAACACCGATCGATACCAAATGGCTCGGGGGGGGGGGGGGAGTAGAGTGGCAAGTTTTCCTACCCGACGAACCCGGAATTATCCCGAGGGGGTAGGGGTGGGAGTAGAGTCGGGGGAACGGGGGGGGGGGTGAGTGCAAGTACCAAGTACTTTCGCAAGTACCAAGCAAGTACCAAGTACTTTTACAAGTACCAAGCAAGTACCAAGTACTTATGCAAATACCAAGCAAGTACCAAGTACTTTGGCAAATACCGAGTACTTATGCAAATACCAAGCAAGTACCAAGTACTTTGGCAAGTACCGAGTACTTTGGCAAGTACCAAGCAAGTACCAAGTACTTTTGCAAATTCAGCAAGTTTTTCGCCAATATCGAAGCTTCTAGACGTCCGATCGTCACCGGAAAAACACCATTCGATCCCAAATTTGTTCCTTAATCTTTTTATGGCCAAAGCGACGCGGAGCGAGCGCAAGATATCTTGTTAGAACCCAATTGCGCCCTATCCTTTAACATGGCTAAGCAAAGGAGACTGAATGCATACACTCCGGCAGTCTATGTCATTGTGGCTTACTTGAACATGTATTATGTGAATCAAGCTCGATACATAATAAATGTAGATATAAATTGCGATGTTTTTTTGCGCAGGTAAATAACTTTACTTGTGTCCGGTATGCTTGTGAAGTGGAACGAAAACGTTTGATGTAACGGACTAGATATATATGAACGTATGCGCCTAGACTGTTATATTTTCAATCGTTTCTCTCAGTTAATATTTTTTATTGTTTCGACAACTTTTTTGACATCAGTTCTAACTTTGTATCATAGCTGTCACCTCTCACGCCTCAGTCCATGTTAAAAATGCCGTATTTCGTCAATTACACCGTAAGTTCATAGCCTAAATGGCAGCTACATTATAAGTTCGACGAGAGAAATAATTTTTGGACTGACGATGGCGGGTTGCTCCCCTGCCTGACATAAAACTCCTTCTTTATCGCAATCAGTTTATGATGCATTCATACTGTCGTGATACAATAGCTACACCATTATTCTATTTGCGCCCCAATGGCGCAATTGCCATGGGCGCAATTAAAATTGAGGTACTTTTTAATAAAAGCGTAGAAGTTACCATAAAGATACTGAAGGATGTTTACTGTTTCAGTGAAATATATTGAAAAAAAGGATTTTTCTTTCCAAATATCACTCTGAAAATCACACATGTATCGCCTATTTTTATAGCCAACGGTTCAAAATGCTGCAAAAAAGCTAAGAAAACGCCGTAATATCTTTGATGGCGTAATGAGCCTTGCTGATTGGCTTCATCGGAGAGCTTGGGCCATAAAAGGAACTATCCAGTGGTAAAAATAATGTTTTCGAAAACAAAATACTAAACATGCCATTGAATTCGTGGGAATGTGGGCGGGCGCAATTAGTTAGGAGGGCGCAATACACCCACTTTCCCCTATATGCTACACCGATCCGTCGCCTGGTGCAGTGGCCCGACCGGCATGGAAACACCGTGGGACGGGAAATGGAACTGGTGATTTTGCCTTAAATTGTGCTTAAAAGATTCCACGCAAGAATGACATGGATGAAGCATAATTAGTGCCAACTGCGCTGCACCTCGTGGACGTAAAAATTAGCCGATCACCCCCCCCCCCCTCCGGTGACGGATAAATGTTATGTCCCGCGAGTGTGAGTTTGGCCCCCCCCCCTTTTGCTAGCGGCTGCGACCGCCAGTGAAAACGTTTAAGTTCTCACGATTATTTTCATTATATTTCCTTTTTACGGCGATCCCACGAACAATAAAGTTACAACGGCGTACATGAATTTAACGGTGACTATCTGGGGCTGCATGCACAAGAAAATTGGAGTGAATTAAAGCAAAAAAAAAACACATTAGGTGTGCTGTGGTAGTAATGCAATATACACATAACTATGCACATCCACACGGGTTGAAGCAGACAGCCGTTATCGACAGGTGTCTCCAGAACCGCGTCTCGCTCCGTGAACTACTCTGAAACGGCCTGCGCGTGTTGACTCACCTGCAGAGAGCGGCGGGCGGCGCGTCGCGCCTCCCTCAGCAGGGTGACCCGGCGCATCGGCAGCTCCCAGCGCAGCTTCAGTCGGGACGTGGCGTCCCCGATCAGCTCGTGCAGCTCGGACCAGCTGAGCTGCGGCAGCTGCGGCCGGCGGGGAGCGGTAGCTGCGGCCGACGGCGGTGGTCTCGGGGCGGCGGCCGGAGCCGGGCCGGACGGCGCGGCGGCGGCTGGACCGGCCGGCGGCTGCTCGCGCTCTAAGGAATGGGGAGGCAGGCGCCGGTTAGAAAGACATAACTTGTAGATGATCAGTGTTATTACCCATTATTAAAAAAATACCTACATTTTCAGCTCAAACTAATCCGTAATATACAACAAACTAATCCGTAATATACAACCACATCTCATAACATAACTATTACTGCATAACCGTTATGTGGTTCAAGACGATTGATTCTTATGTTAATATAATGCAATACTGTGAACACCCATAACTCGGACCACCCTAAATTCCTCACCACGGCATTGCGTCACTAACCTGTCTCTAAATCTGCCATGGCGTTCCGAGCGTACTCCAGTCCGATTCCCAGACTCTCGGCGTCCTGAAACGAACGGTCAACGTGGGTTCGTGAGCTGTTTCCTCTCGTGCACAAGGAACTTAAAGAGTCAGCTATTCAAATATGTCATATCAGATGTTGGAAACACGCTGCCTGCAAACAGCCGACTTTAAATGACAAACAACTGAAAATGAAACCAATTTGAGTGACGTGCAAGCAATAGACTCTTGACAGGAGCGGTGATTGGTGAATCAGCTGAAATACATATCTTACAATGTATGAAGGTAACCTACTCACTCCACTACCCGGCCGATCGCTTAGACATACCTGCATGAGCTCCTCGATGTCGAACTCAATATCCAGCTCCATGACTGCGCGGCGTGCGGTCTCCCGGCACCGGTCGGCTGAGGCTCTGCCGATTTTCCTACAACTCGACGACGCACTCCACTCCCTGTCACGGTCGGAACGCTACTGGCTGGAGAGGACGCTCCTGATCCCCCAGACGCTTTTGGCGGATGCATACCATTTTTTGAAATATGCGACCAGTATAGGGTGGACTACTTTCAGACCAGCGTATTCAAAACCCTTCGGGTACTGATAACGCGCGAGCGACGCCGGCCGCCCGACCCAAGGAGGGGGATTAGTGATCCGGGAGCGACCGCTGATACCTGGAAGGGTCAGAAGTCGTTCTAGTTTACCCCGACGGCACAGCGGGATAGCCGGCAGGGGACCGGGGGGCCGAGGACGCCGGTGTCTAATTAGTCCTGCGATAGCGGCTCCGGTGAAACTACTGGGAGGAGGCAGTCGTGGCAAGCACATCTGGAAAGTCACAGAAGTTGGTTTCAACCTCCCTTGTAGTGCAGACCTCCAAAATTTCGAGGATATGGAAACGGAAAGGCAGAGTCGCTATCTGCCGATGTGCTACAGAATCGCTCCTACTCCAACTCCGACTCGTCAGCTCTTCTTTTCTTCCTCCAGCGCGCCTTCCCAGTCTTTATTTCTCTCTCTCTCTCTCTCTCTCTCCCTCTCTCTCTCTCTCTCTCTTCTCTCTCTCTCTCCCTCTCTCCCTCTCTCTCTTTCTATCTCTCTCACTCTCTCTCTCTCTCATTATCTTTCCTTCTCTATCCCTCTTTCTCTTTCTCTCTTTCTCTCTATCTCTTGTTCTCTCTCCTAGCTTTGTTATATAACTTCTTTCGGGTTCAGTCGTACTTACCAGTCACGGCGGCCAGCAAATGTTCGACAAGAGGCGCCCGCCGACTGGCAAGCTCAGTCAGGCTCCGTCCACCTGGCGGGTAGACTGTGCCGCAAGGCTTCTCTGTATTGCGGTACAGCTCAACCGCCGCGCCGAACCGCGGAAAGGCGCACACAGATGCCACAGATGGAAGACTCGGCTCCTACCCAACTACACAGCAGACAGAAGACACACTTTCTGAATGTTATAACTACATGTTGAATGTTAATAAATGTATTTTTTGCTTCATTTGATTTTGAATTCATTTCTAACAATATGTGTTTACTGTTAAGAGACCCAGACTCTGAAGATGTGGCCGCCTTCTTTGGTTTTCAGTTTCCGAGACCCTGGTGAAGTACTGGGAAGTTCCTTTTTGTTCCATTTTTCGCCTGGAAAGATCTCATGCAGTAACATCTGCTCATATTAACGCAAGTTACCAGGAAAATGCTTTACCCCATATTCCATAATATTTACCAGTATAACGCCTTTTGGGGCGACTAACGGAGCGAGCGAGAGGGTGAGCCTTGCACGTGCGAAATTTCGAGGGGGTACCTCCAGCTGACTTGTGCACGGCACCCTACTAACCGGTCTCTAGCGATGTGCCAAATTTGAGCACAATCGGCCCAGCCGTTCTCGAGATCTGGAAGCGGCACCCTGCACGTGCGCACGTGCAAAATGGGTCCCAACTGGCTTTAACACGGCACCCTACTAACCGGTCCCTAACCATGTGCCAAATTTGAGCGCCATCGGTCCAGCCGTTCTCGAGATCTGGAATCGACCCCTGCACGTGCGCACGTGCAGCAGCACCCCAACTCTGGCACATGGATATGCATTGCCTAGTGGGTGCCTACCTACATGCCAACTTTCAGCGCAATCGGCCAAGTCGTTACCGAGATATTGCAACAATTACAAAAGTGACACCTCTTCGTTTTGCACGTGGCACGTGCATAAGGGGTCACCCACATGCATCGGGAATAGTCCAATACTTGGTAGAACTGGTAGAAGGAATGAAGCTACCCTACAAAAATTACCGCGTGTAAATCGGTCAAGTGGTTGCTGAGATATAAGCGTCGCAAAATCGTGACCACGGCCGGCCGGCTGGCCGGCCGGCCGCTCATACTCAGAAATTTCCGTTAATCTAAGGAAAGACTACGCTCGCTTCGCTCGCTCCGTAAAAAGACCTAAACCGCGTTCAACGACGTCAGTAAAATCAAATTGTAACAGCGTAAATTAACACATTTCGGTATGGTATGCTCCGATACGCTCGGTGCTATCCCTAAATGTCTGCTTTACCTATCAAAGTATTCTAATCCAGCGCTGGTAAGAACGGAGCCTTCAGCATCTCCATCCCTTGATTGGTGGATACGGCTCCCAATGCGTGTCGAGAGCCCCTTGGACATGCTTGTACCTGAAAAAGTCATTCGCTCTCATAGGTGTTGTCAATAATGACGTCTTATCGCTGCAAAATACATTCCAGTCATGTCGCTGGTTACACATTACACATTAATTTAATTCCAGTAAAACACGTACATTCGGGGACCGAATGTATGTATACTTAATGGTTCGATGGGTCTTACTTCTTTTTTGATCCTGCTAGTCGTCCTCTTGCAATTTGTTCTTTTAAGTCACGGTAACATTTCTGGGCATTCACATATCTGAAAATGGCAAATAAATGATCAATGCTGTTAATATGGTAATATGCTTCTCTGGATGGTAGAAATGAAATGCTAAGAAAGGAACAAGGGTAAAAGTGGTGTAAACTCGGCATTTGCTCAGTACCTACTCAGCAAACCTACCACAAGACAATAAGCTGTACGTACGTAAAGTCGTTTTATAGCCTGGTCACTTACTCTATCTCGGTTTTCTGGCACCTGTCCAGCATGCGCGTGCGCAGGCTGTCGTCGGATGTGGCGTGCTGTTCGAACCAGGCGTCCCGCTCTGCCAGCCATTGGCGGCCGTAGTCGTGGGACACCATTCTGGCCATTATCTCCTTATCCTGACCGAGACGGGCGAGGGGACCCCTCAGCGCTCTGGGATAGTTGAGCATAATCTCGCGACTGTCACAGTTAAATCATGGCAAAGCGTGAAGGATCAAAATGAACCAGACATAACAACAAGCCCTTTTTGGTTTTGGCTTGTTTTGTTTGGAACAAGCTCTTTCGGGCTGAAAACACCAATGCGTAGCATGGGATAATAGGATGGGGCGTAGACATTGGGCTGTGGGGGACTGTGACGGTGATCCAGGGAAGCGAGACCGTCCAGGTGGGACCACATTGCCTCGTTGGGACAATCCCCCTCCCCCCCCGCCTCTCAAGTGGTCTCCCCGGTCCCCCTGAGAGGATTTTAACGGGTCGTGGTGTGGACCCAACCTCAACCGCCGGTTTTCAGGTGGGGTGGGGTGACCGCCAGCCCGAAAAGGAGCGGGAGGAGGCATGCGGATGGGTTATGTTCTGAGCATAGAGGACAGATGATGAACACGCCCTATTTACTATTTTGGTGAACACGCCATATTACTATATTGGTGTACTATTTCGCGTAATTACTATAAAAAATGGCTATGGGTTCTAAGCTAGTTTTGAAATCTTAATAGTCGTCAAAATACCTAGTCCTAACCAAAGAGCAAAAGCACAAAAACCACACACAAGATTGCTGAATAAATCTGAAACGTTACATTAATATGAGGACGACATTTTTTAGTAAAACATGGTATCTTAACTTACCCTAAGCATCTTTTAAATTAGTTATCTCATAGTTTTACTTAGGTTTAATTTAGTTTATGTTTTCGTAACAAGTAATATTTTAAGGGGGAATCTTTTTGACTACCTTGCTTTATCTGTAACCACTGGTGGATCCAAGGGGGGGGGGGCAACCGGGCCAAAGTTAGGGCTAGGGGGCGGCCAAAACATGATTTGCCCCCCCCCCTTCCAAATCAAATTCCCCCTTTAACCCTCGCCCGCACATGGGGGGGGTTGCCCCCCCCCCCAGGTAGTCTTTCTGCTCTGCACTCAACATTTTTAGAGCTAGAAGGCTGATTTTTCGCATAGCTGCTTCTCTATCCTTTCTTGATGTCCACTGAAAATTTCAAGTTTCTGTAATTTTTGGTTTCGGAGATATGACCTTGTTTTTCAGGTCATGTCATGACCCAAATGGCCAATTCTCAACATCTTGCGTTTGCCATGTGCCTTGTTAGCTTTTGACACCCTGATTTCGGCCTTTTTTGGCAGTCTTACCTCCCACCTATCATGGAACATGTTGTTCGACGATGTACAGGGGTCAAGGTCAGGGTCAAGGTCAACCTAGGTCATCTAAGATAATTGCGTTTTAGGCAAGCTGAATTTACTTTTTGTGAAGTTTTTTGACTGCATTTTTGGGAAAAGCTTCTCAGATCATGATTTCATGTAATATGGACCCAAAAACAATCGGTGCACACATCAGTATACACACAGACACACACAGACATACAAACACATATAATTGACCTTGACCTAACTTGACCTGAAATGACCTCAGCAGCAAAATTCTGGTCGGGTAGTGTGACAAAGAGGTTCTAGCTGGCTTGGCACCAGAAAACAGCATCGTCATCGGTATTTGATAAGCAGCGCACTTGATATCCAACGGTGACCCAAAACAGCAACATTTTTTAGTTTGACCTGACCTGGAAGGTCAATGACTGACCTGAGAAGGTAAAACTGGGTATCATTGGATTCGTCTCTTCCCAAATAATTTTTTTGGTCTTTACCGCTAAGCTCTATCTCCAACAGGAACGAAATGGCGCGGGGGGTGGCAACCCCCCCCCCCCCATGTGCGTTCTAGGATGGGAAAATGGCATGTGCGGGCGAGGGTTAAAATCTCCTCAGGACTGCAATTCACAAAAAAAATGACGACATGCATGCAACATAAGGCAACAAATCCTCACTTCCAATCCCAATTAATCCAAGTATATGAAAAGCGGGAAATTTTGTCATTGATAACCTTCGTAGACCTGATCTTTTGGCCGGCTTTGGCCCCTCCCTTTGAAAACGGCTGGATCCGCCCGTGTCCTGTAACTGTAACTTACGTGAATGTACGAGGGCAGAAATGATTTGCTGCTGCCAGACTTTTTCTTCTTGTCACGGTCGTCGTGAACAGTGGCACAGGGAAACTGGCTGGCCATTGGCTGAGAATTGTATGGCGAATTGTCTCCATCGCGGGCCGACTCCAGCCCTGGGCAGTGACACTGAATACCTGTAGGTGATAACGTGCATTTAGTGCATGCCTACTGAATCAAAAGTAGACTATCTTATTGTCTCCTCGAAAGCTTGGTTACATAATTTGCATTTGTGTGTTGCATAATAAGCAGGCAAAACGCTGGTCGAAGTGGGTAATTTATCAATCCATTCGAGCAATGAAGATGTCTCTTACCGTTCATTATCACTTGATATTAATAGTTCAAAAGACACTTTTGGGTATCTATAATAAAAATGATGCCACGTGACTACCCGGTATACTCTAGAACAAACGTTTTCCGGCTACACACTTATTATACGAAAATCGTTCATCTGCTTCAAAATATCAACGCTTAATTTACGGTCTACTCATCATAGAAAGTTATCATAATGTGAAACTTAATTTTGCATCTGTTCTACATGGTGCTGCTGGGGCTCTGCATTGGCAAATTCCTTGGCAAATTCTATTTGATAAATTTTAGCAATTAAAAAGACTGCCACGTGACGTGTTGATCAACCCAAAATACCACAAATAACAAAATTGGATTAAAGCGAAAACCATACAACACAATGGCCGTTTTCACACGACGGCAATCTGGTACACATTTGGTGCACATCTGGTACAGATTATGGTGCAGATCTGATCAAATCAGGTTCAGTGTGTCTCTTAGCAGCTATCAGCTAGGGTTGCACTAATTGCTTATATGCCTGCTTTGTCATATTATCAGAGAGTATCATCGATTAAAACACTGAAATAAATTCATAAAATGAAGATGTTTGCTGTAAAAGAAATTACGTGCAGATTTGGTCAAATCAGGTGCATTCGCCGGATAGCCCGTCGTGAAACGGCTACTGTCTACAATAGTATAATGGCATGAAGGCGTAGGGTGGTAATGAAGTTGGAGGTATTCATTAGCCGTTTTCACGACGGGCTTTCCGGCAAATGCACGTAATATGACCAAATCTGCACCTAATCTCTTTTACAGCCAATATCTTCATGGGGTTATATTTCGGTTGGTTTGAGGCTCGAGCTTTTGTCAATGCATGGTAAAACAATTATTTCGGAACCAGCTTAATTTTCAAAACATTTATATTTTTACGCTAGCATGTTTTTTTTTCTCAAATGCGACTCAGAGCCGGTACATAGGTATACCTAATCATCTAATTTATTACGTAAAGTAAAACATTTCATTAATAAACATTGTTGCAAGTCCCTCAGAAATCAGCCCCGGGCAGCGACATATAACTGCCGGCCGGCCGACCGGCCCCGGGTGGCTGGAAGCAGGGGCCGGTCACTGTTTGGTCCGGATGTGTAGGAGCGGTAGCAACACTCCTTTTTCAAGTATATTCGCATATTTTTTTAGGCACATCGACATGAAATGTCATTAGGTATCTGATACGATGCGGGATCACAGACTAGAGATCCAGCTTATAACTTATATTTAATGTTTAACCGATGAATCAAATCAACAGGACTATGTACGATGCATGTCGGACACGTACCCAGAATTTCGCCCAAGAGGGGGTCACCTGCTGGTCACCTGACCCCGGGCCCGCGAGTCACCCGGGGGTCAGCTCAGGCAAGGATGTATCCAGGACCTTTCGATGGGAGGAGGGAGGCACGGTGGGTCCAGTCTCAGTGGCAGACGGGTCTCTTTAAAACGGTCTTTGCATGAGAAAATGTGGAAAATTGGCAAATAAAAGTATCATTTATGCCCGAGGAGTGTGCCTAATGTACACTAATGCCTAATGTACATACATGGTATTTTCGAGCGAGCGAAGCGAGCGAGCTCCTCAGAGTCACCGGTGTGTGACGCGCTCAGAGGTGCCAGTGAAAGGCCGTCAGATGCGCTGGTGTTTGGTCCTCACAGGCGCCGTTGCGGGGTCTTAGGGCTTAGAGACACTGGTGGGGCCATCATTGGCATGTGTGTGGCCCTGCAAAATGGCCTGCAAGTGGAAAGTGGCCCTTCATAGGCTGGCAAGGACACTCAGAGGCTAGTAAGAGGCCCTCAGAGTCACTGGTACGTGGCCCTCAGAGGCGCCGGTGTGGGGACTCTCAGAGCCGCCGATGTAGGCCCTTAAGATGCGTTGGTGGGGGGTCCCTTGGAGGTGGCGCGAGGGGCCTTGCAGTTGCCGTTGTGGATGCCTTTAGAAACACTGGTGTGGGCCGTGTGTCTATCACAGACGGATGTGGAGCCATAGCAGCCAATCCCTCGTTGGCCGTTACTAGGGCCCTGAGCGGCCGGCGAGGTCTCTCAGAAACCGGCATTGGGCCTTTATGAAGATAATTGTGGCTACATAGGAGCCAATAACGTGCCCCCACAAGCCTGTGGTGTCCTTCCGAGTTGAAGTGCGGCCAGCGCGAACCCTCTGCTGCCAACTGGCGCCGCAGGGCCCCTCGGTTTCGAAGAAACCCTAAACCCGAGAACGGGCACGTACCCCCTCGCTCCCTTGCTATGTCACTGAATCCAAGTGATCAGGGATCCTTTAGGTAATCAGGGGCGTTTCAGATGACCAGGGGTTTCAATTGATCAGGGGCTACCAGGTGACCATGGGCCCCTCTGGTAACCAGGCCTTAAGGGGCCCTCAGATGACCTCAAAGGGCTCTCAAATGGCCTTAAAGGGCCCTCAGATGGCCTCAAGTAACCAGGGACCCCATCAATAACCAGGGCCCCTCAGTAAACGGGGGCCACTCAGGTAACTGTAGGAGTCCCGCAGATAACCAGGGGCGGCAAGGTTTCTCAGGTCCGTTTTTTGACAAGGCTCTTATTGACTCAGCCGTGCGAGCCCTTTGCCATCAGCAGAGGGCCCTTTCAAGCCTTTTGAGGGCCGTTTAACGTCTCTTGAGTTCCCATTGAGGCCTTCTAAGGGCCCTTTGAGCAGTCGAGGGGTCTTTGAGGCCTTTTGAGGGCCTCTTGACGTCAGCTGAGGACCGTTGGACGCCAGCTGAGGACCGTTTTTGGGCCTTCTGATGGCCATTAGACGCCAATGGATGACCACCTGACACCAACTGGGGCCCTCTGACACCAGCTAAGGGCCCTTTAAGTTTGACGCTAGCTCAGGGCCCTCTGACATCAGCTGGGGGCCCTCTGACGCTAGCTCAAGACCCTTTGATGCTCTTTAAGGCCTTCTGAGGGCCCCTTGAGGCTTTTTGAGGGCCGCTTGACGCCAACTGAGGACCGCTGGACTCCAGCTGAGGACCGTTTGAGGCCTTCTGATGGCCATTTGGCGCCAGCTGAGGGCCATCTGGCACCATCTGGCGTTTGACGTTAGCTGAGGGCCCTAATTGAGGCTATCTAAGGGCCCTTTAAGGCCATCTGAGAGCCCTTTGAAGTCATCTGGAGGGCCCCTTAAGGCCATCTGGGGCCCTTCGAGGCTATCTGAGGGCCCTTTGACACCATCTAAGGGCCCTTTGACACCAGATGAGGGCCCTATGACGCTAACTGAGGGCCCTTTGAGGTAATCTGAGGGCCCTTCGAGGCCATCTGAGGGCCTTTTGAGACTATCTGACTGCCCTTTAAGGCCATTTGAGGGCCCTTTGTACACGGTCTTCCATGGTCTAAGGATTAGTTAGAGGCCCATTTGAGGCGGCCGAAGGCCGCCTCAAATGGGCCCCTCTTCCTTCGAGCTGGGCCCCCCAACTCGAATGGGGGGGCACGGGCCCGTGTGCCCCCCCCCCCCCTAGTGTGCGCCCTTGGGTGAAACTATAAGCGGAAGATCGACTGGTGGTGTTTTCGTCTCCATCAGCCCTGTAGGTAGGTACCTACTTTTTGAGTTGTTGCAAGGCTATAGAACTCCTGTCTTCAAGGGTGCCGAAAGGCAAGCCGAAAGGGTCTTCAAGATTACTTTACTTATACTTCACTGGGGTTGGGAAATATGGCAGCAATTTTATTGTAGACAAATCTTGCGCTCTACTTGCAAGATACGCGTGAGCGTGTGTTCTCTTAGCAGCGCACTTCTGCTCGTACCTTACAATGATTGATGCTTACTGGTTCATCTAGGATTTTCTGTACGGTCGTCAAGTTAGATGTAAGTGAATCCTAATCTATAATCTAAGATTCGGAATCAGGTGAGCCCCTACGATTTGGACCAAACTTGGTCAGTGGATAGTACGTAACGTCCTGATTACGATGCACCCAAAATCTAAGCTCGGCCCGCCATATTTACGAAGTAACGGATGTTTGAATTTCAAGGTCATTCGGGAGAGCCCCTACGATTTCCGTCAAAATTTGTGTACGGACACTCTAGATGCTCCTCATTACGAATATCACAAAATTTAAGCTCGGCCCGCCATATTTACGAAGTTACGGAGGTTTGAATTTCAAGGTCATTTGGGTGAGCCCCTGCGATTTCCGTCAAAATTGGTATACGGACATATTACATCCTCCTCATTACAAATATCATAAAAGTTAAGCTCGGCCCGCCATATTTTTCACGTTACGGAGTCACAAAGTTACGGAATTTCAAGGTCATTCGGAGAGCCCCTCCGATTTTCGTCAAAATTTATATGCAGACACATTACATGCTCCTCATTACGAATATCGTAAAAGCTAAGCTCGGCCCGCACTGTTTCAAAAGTTAATGAGGTTTGAATTTCAGTGAGTTTCAAACCTCAGTAACTTTTGAAATAGTGCGGGCCGAGCTTAGCTTTTACGATATTCGTAATGAGGAGCATGTAATGTGTCCGCATACAAATTTTGACGAAAATCGGAGGGGCTCTCCCAATGACCTTGAAATTCCGTAACTTTGTGACTCCGTAACTTGAAAAATATGGCGGGCCGAGCTTAACTTTTATGATATTTGTAATGAGGAAGATATAATATATCCGTATACCAATTTTGACGGAAATCGTAGGGGCTCACCCAAATGACCTTGAAATTCAAACCTCCGTAACTTCGTAAATATGGCGGGCCGAGCTTAAATTTTGTGATATTCGTAATGAAGAGCATCTAGAGTGTCCGTACACAAATTTTGACGGAAATCGTAGAGGCTCTCCTGAATGACCTTGAAATTAAAACATCCGTAACTTCGTAAATATGGCGGGCCGAGCTTAGATTTTGGGTGCATCGTAATCAGGACGTTACGTACTATCCACTGACCAAGTTTGGTCCAAATCGGAGGGGCTCTCCTGATTCCGAATCTTAGATTATAGTTTAGGATTCACTTACATGTAACTTGACGACCGTATTTTCTGTAGATTTTGGGTGCGTTCTTTGAACAGATTTCACGTGAAATTTCACGTGGAATCGGAAGTCAAGCCGTTCTTTGCCGATTCCGCGCGGAATTTCACGTGAAATCCCGCGGAATTCCACGTGAAATACGGGAATCGAAAAAGCTTGTCCCGAGCGCTTTTTCCAAGATGGCGACGCCCAGTGGAGGAGGGAATGTGAATATGTGCGTATGATATGGACTGGTTTTGCGGAATATGTTACTAAATTGTTACCGTTTTTACCAAAAATATTTTTGGGGCCTGTTTCCGCTGTTATGTACCTACTAACCAGCAAACTGGTGTGGAAATATTAACTGGTAGGTATTCTTACAAGCTGTATGCACACCAGAGACTTTTCTATAAAAACTCAATCTGCCTCTTATCACTTAAGATGCATCATGTAACTTACCGACAATACAAGCAACGCTAAGTTCAATGCACGTTTCACAAATCTGGGCATATTACATTTACGAAGCCTATGCGACAATTGCGCCGTGAAATTCCCGTGCTGGCGGCAAAGAACGCATCAGCTGACTGAGCCGTGAAATTTCACGTGAAATTTCCGTGCAAAGAACGCACCCTTATTTGCTGATGGCAGAAGAAGTCGACTGACAACAATCTTTACTGAACATTGAACAATACAACCTTATTACCCGGCATTGTGCAATATGCACATTTTGATTTGTGCCTTGATTTGTGCATTGGACTCCAGGAAAGAAGTGATCATCTATATCAATATAGAAAGCACGTCTTTATTCGCAAGATTTTTGATTGCTTGAATTGTTATAAACACATGTTGTAATTGTGGCCTTATTTCACTTAAAGGGACCCTCCCTGCTCCCACCTTCAAAAAAGTTAATGAATTGGCATGAAAGTGATGTCGCTCGGTTCAGAAAGAGCGAAAACCAACATCTACCAAATTTCATCGAAAAATATTCACCGGTTTTCAAGATATTAGACTTTCACTTTTGTTTACTTTTTGGGATCTTAACCGGGATCTCCGCTGTTCCAAGCGACTTTATTTGAAAGTGCTGCATTTGCTGCGCGCAAAGCAGCGTATACCACCGCGTGTTACCAAACGTTTTAGTAAAAGATTTAAAAAATTGTTAGATCTCCGCTGATGTCACACATTCAGAGGGGTATTCAAAAGCATTAGCCCCTTTGAATCAAAACGCTGCAATTTTGAAATTCAATATTTCCGATTTAAGGCATTTCTCGATGTTGTGAGTGCCGAAACCGGTAATTGTGAGCCAGGGACCCCCATTTTGGCTATCTCAACTCAAATCTAATGTTAACCAGCGCCCCACTGCACAGTGGGTGATCCGGCCGGTGTAGCCTCGCGAAACCTATCAGCATTCATAACATCCATGTTTTTGAAGCTAGAACCACAATATTTAGGAGCAACCTGCTTGAATATCCAATGAGCATATGTTTTAAATAAGGACTATCTCTGATAGGATTTGTGCTCTGTGGCGAGCTTGCAATTTGCCTAATTGCTGCTCGAATAACGCATGAATACTTTTGAGGGTAGGTCGAAATTTATGACGGTATGAGCTGGGTAGGACATTGAAATGGTGTGTACCTCCGTAGAAAATTGCTTCCAAACCAATGTTTTATTCAAACGATTATGCCCTACCAATTTATACACATCATGAAACAGGGTAAATCTCGCCCGGCAAGGCCCCATTTCATAACGTGACCCAAGCAGCGGGTTTGGTTTTTGGTAAATAACTTCGCAAAAAATGGCCGCAGAACCACGATTTTGACATCGTCGTGTTCGCCTTGCTCAGGCGCGTCGAATGGTATACTTTTGTTCAGGTGAGGCCACCGAAAGGTCAACCTGACCTTGACCTCGAGTCAAGGTCAGGTCAGAGGTCTTCAAATCACGAAGTTGGTCGAAGGAGGTCATATCGCATATCATTCGATTCGGCAGGTCTTCCGGAGTCCATTGGTGACCTTGTCGACTCTCTAGCTCAATTTGATCGGGAGTTATTGACGAAAAACTCGTATGACCCTAGTGACGTCATAAATGACGTTATGCAAGGTCAACAATGCAAAAATGCAGCATCAGATCTTGCAAGGAGTGCATGAAGTAACGATTCCATGTACTTGAGACAATTGAATATCATTCCTGGCGCCAAAATAACAGTTTTCATATTTCCCCATTGACTTAAAGGTGAGGTCACGTGACCAACCTGACTTTGTGACATTTAGGAAAATCTGAGATATACAAGTTGTAAGACCTCTGAAGGACAATAAGTCCTGCAAGTCTCACCTCCCTGTGAAAGTTACTCTGGCACTGAGAGCGTTGCAAGGTTGCGACATCTGAGGATCGTGCAGAGGTTCATGTATGACGTCATAGGTCAGTGACCTGACCTGACTTGAAGGTGCGGTTGGTGTCACAAGATCCAGCGTGCATCAAAGGTCAGGTATGCCAGGTTGCAGCTCTCTATTGCTTGGGTGTTTTGAGCTATCGCGAAAACACCCTTTGGGGCATTTGCCACTTGTGCTCAAGTGCACCAAGCCACGGCGCAACCCTTAGAAGAAAAAAGTGTCTGGATGCCAGGGCTGCAAGTGGCTGCAAATTTTCACTGGCTCCCCTAATAGATAGTGTCTTAGTGCATGCGATACAGCATTATTTTCAGTTCATCCTCGTAAAACTTTTTTTGCTGGGCTTGGTTAATTCAGTGAACGTAATGTTCAGTGGTAGAAAAAAATATAAAAAGTTAACCTAATTATAAGACATTTTGAACTGATTTTGTCTACTTGCTTTCTATGGCGGAATCGTCTTAACATCTAAATTTCACTTTCCATGCAAAATGGATGCTCAACACCTAGCAATTTCATCGTTCCGCAAAATATTCAAAGAGCGTAAAAATCGGCTGTGATTATCCCCCTTATGAAGTGTTACGGAACGCTGTCTTTAACGATACTTTTGTCTACGAAAAAATGTCTCCTGAGCCATGCAAATGCACTAATCGTAATCTTTGATGAATTTTCTGTCGACTAGTATGCGTTGTTTTCCAATTTTAGGAAAAAAGTGTCTTTGAGGTTTCGCGAGGCTAGACCGGCCCGATCGCCTACCGTGCACTGGGGGGGGGGGGGGGGGGGCTACCGGCTATTTATGGCCCCCCCTTCCGTTTTTCCGCAATAATTTCCAAACCGCTTGACGGATCGACGCCAAATTTTCGGTACCTTCGGCTGCATCAATTTGACACCTTGTGTCAAAATTTGAACTTCGTAGCTACCATAGGTCGGCCGGAAATGACGTCAGAGTGACGTCATGTTCGTCCAATTTCGACGCAAAACATTAAACCACGGCAATCGCTCCCAAGAGCTCAGTTTTTAAGCTAGATCCAATTTCTTTGCATGAAAGGACTCAGAATTGACCGCGCTATCAAACTGCTATCTCGGATTTTCAAAATTTTTAAAATTTTGAAAATTTCATATAATAATATTCAAAATTTATATTTTTATATTTTTCAAAAAGTTTTTGACTTTTTGAAAAAACCGGAATATATGTGACAGAACGCATGATTATGACTAACTCTAGCAAGTTTTAGCTAAATATCTTCAAAAATGGCCAAGTTATACGCATTATTGCAAAAAATTCACAATTATTAATTTTTCAAATCAATTTTTCAGTACGTATTTGACATCGTACACCAATATAAATGGCACCATCGTGTTCCTGAGCTCAAACTGCATCCAATAGACACCTTTTTTGTTGAAAAAATTTTAACTTATAAATTTGACCTTTTTTAACCTGAAAGTGACCTGACCTAAGCTAAATTCGACTCAAAATGACCTCAAATGACACAGACGACATCAAATTCGAAATCTATGGCCTAAATGGACCATAAAACATGTCACGTGACCGACGCATGATATAATATTTCCGTGACCTGTGATGACCTGACCCTGACCTGAAAATCAAAGTACAAGTTTGGTACCCTCAAGGTATCTAAAGCATCTGTTCACGAGTGTGGAAACCAAAAATGAGCATGATCTGACTTGTAAGACGGCGGCCAGAGCCCAAAATGTGAACAAGCCAAAATGCTAATAATTTTTACTTTGACCTGACCTGTGACGTCATCGGTGACCTCGAGGTCAATGAAATTAGGTTTCGTTCGACAGTTTTTCCGGGGCTATCAGACGCCGTTTGAATTTTGACGATCGGCCCAGTAGTTTCGGAGTTAGGAGGGGGGGGGGCTATGAATAGCCCCCCCCCCCCGTAGGGCGTGTTATACACAGACCCCAGTGGGGCGCGGGTTAAGGTGGGAGGGTCACTTTAATTGTGGTGTGGGCTGTGGCTTGATGCCTATGCATATGCCTCGATGCAACTTACAACCTACCAACCTACAACCTGCCAACCTACAACCTACCAACCTACAACCTACCAAGTACCAACCTACAACCTACCAACCTACAAACCTACAACCTACCCTACAACCTAACTTATAACCTAAATCTTCTTATATACCACATAATTCTTACCCGACTCAACAAGTGTTTGGGTGTAACTTATAAATGTTTGGTGTAAAAATTATTATAAGTAGGTATATATGTGTGATCTCACTTTTCTACCTTAAAAGAATGTGTTATTTCTTTTCAAGATTTTGTTTTGTGAATTTCTTCAGTTTTAAAAGAGTGCAAAAGAGGGAAATGACTGTCCATTGAATTTCTATCAGTCCGACAATTATTGTTAAAACTTAAAGTTGTTTCATCCGATGGGATAAGATAGGTAGGTATAGACTAGAATAAGTAAAATAAAGCTTGAAAACTCAATATTTTATATCTCAAGTCTAAATGAAACCACTGACCACATAAAGCCATATTCAGACATAGTTGCACTGAATTCCTTTTTTGTGTGGAGGAGCTGATAGTGTTGAGCAGGGCTGCGGAGTCGATGGATTTACGGCGACTCCGACTCCGACTCCGACTCCGGCTTTCAAAAACCAACTCCGACTCCGACTCCGGGCAGAAATGTCGACTCCGATCGACTCCAACTCCCGACTCCGACTCCGCACACCTGGCAGGGCTGCGGAGTCGACAGATTTTCGGTGACTCCGACTCCGACTCCGGCTGGGGTTTCCAATATCGACTCCGACTCCGACTCCGACTCCAGTCACAACTGTCGACTCCGACCGACTCCGACTCCGACTCCGCAGCCCTGGGTTGAGTAACCCGTTTTACAGGATTGTGAAGATATTCGCACAAAAAAAACTTCAGGATTCAGGATGTCTGGTGGTGCAAAGGTACGACGGCATTTGTGTTCATATGACACTTTCACTCTTACTCTCACATTTGATTATGGAATGTGAAACATTTAAATCTGTTAAATTCGCTTGTTTATTTTAGGTCTATAAAAGTAAGTAACTAAATACCTAAGTGATTAGATCAAATAGTAATATGTTTAGCATATTGGTTTAGTTTTGTTCCCTTGGTGTGCCATGTGCATTTTGCAATGACTTTCTTTGTATGAACTTGCTAGTTACTTTAAAAATATAGTTATAGTTACTATAGTTATAGTTACTATAGTGAGTAACCATAACTATAGTTACTTTAGTTTTTGTTAGAATGCCATCCTTACCCTTCATTTCATGTCATGTGACTGTGCTCTTGCAGGCTAAGACAAGACCCATTATTCCTGAGAGTGCTACTCCAATTGATAAATTGAAGATAACAATAAATAAAGGAGGTGTAATCACTGAAGTGGATGCCATTGTGAGTACCTACATTAACAATATTTTTTACATAATTTGTCCTTTTTGGATGTCTTATTAATATATTTTCACCTTTTTCAGCTGGTACCTATTGTAATCCCAGAATTGTACTTATGGTGACACTGTAAGGTCATTTTTTCATTTCTGATTGCATTGTGTTCGGAAATATAAATTCTAAGGTGTAGGTAGGGAACATTTTCATGCATGATTGTAACTTAGTGTAATAAATATGCTCAACTAAAAACAATAGTCATGCTTTGAATAAAAGCAGAAACTTGGGATATGAACTCCACATATCCAATGCATTTACAAAAGTTTTGCATGCACTACCTGCAAATGCACTATCTGCAAATGCACTACCTACCTAGTACCTATTTAATGTTAATGTAAAGTTTCACTGCACGTGTAGTCTTTGTTTTATAGACTCATGTCAAGGGTTATCCAGGCTTTGTTGACCCTACCACCATACCAAACCAGTAGCCTTTCACATATATTGCCACTTTAAGGCCTCCACAAACAACAATTATATGCAAGGCATGCATGCTTTAACCCTCGCCCGCACATGCCATTTTCCCATCCTAGAAACTCAACGCACATGGGGGGGGGGGAGTGCCACCCCCGCGCCATTTCGTTCCTGTTGGAGATAGAGCTTCGCGGTAAAGACCAAAAAGATTCTTTGGGAAGAGACGAATCCAATGATACCCAGTTTTACCTTCTCAGGTCAGTCATTGACCTTCCAGGTCAGGTCAAACTAAAAAATGTTGCTGTTTTGAGTCACCGTTGGATATCAAGAACGCTGCTCACCATACACCGATGACGATGCCGAATTGTAGTGCCAAGCCAGCCAGAATTGTGGTGCCAAGCCAGCTAGAACCTCTTTGTCACACTATCCGACCAGGTTTTTGCTGCTGAGGTCATTTCAGGTCAAGTTAGGTCAAGGTCAATTATATGTGTTTGTATGTCTGTGTGTGTCTGTGTGTATGCTGATGTTTGCACCGATTGTTCATATGTCCATATTACATGAAATCATGAAATGAGAAGCTTTTATCAAAAATACAGTCAAAGAAACTTCACAAAAAGTAAATTCAGCTTGCCTAAAACGCAATATTTTTAGATGATTTAGGTTGACCTTGACCCTGACCTGTACATCGCCGAACAACATGTTCCATGATAGGTGGGAGGTAAGACTGGCAAAAAAAGACCAAAATCAAGGTGTCAAACGCTCACAAGACCCATAGCCAACGCAAGATATTGGATATTTGTCATTTGGGTCATGCCATGACCTGAAGAACAAGGCCATATGTCTGTTCTTGAGTCTTTGTCCATGTCCTTGAGTCTATGACATTGGTCGGCAGGTCATTCGGGGTCGTGCCCCCTTTTTGGGCGCCAGGCAGGGCCATTACCCCCACCTACCAGACCCCATTGCTGACACAACCAAGTTTACTGAAATTCCATACCGTCCTGGAACTCTTTGGGTAGGGTAGTGTGGGGTAATTTGAACATATTTTTACGTCTTCTCCGTTGTACCAAATTCCAACTCAACCCTGGATGAAGAAAAACTGCTTCAGTAGCGCAAGTGTCACTTGCTTTCACCATGCAAGCCTCATTTTTGGACGAGCCGAGCATACCTTGAATAGCATAGCCTCACTTCTCCACCAAGTCACGGTGTGTTCAAATTGCCCCACTGTGGGGTAATTTGAACATACTGCCTTTACCTGTCATAAAAACGATAGTCTCGCTAGCACCGATGTTGTTTGACCCATGAACAAATAGGCAGAACAATTCTAAACATGCCTTCACTTGAAAAATCAACACAACAACAAAAATAACAGTTGCAGAGTATCAATATCTGCACGCTGCACAACGGTCAGTGGACAGGATTCGCCTCTCTTCAATTAACAGAACGCCTATCATTTTTGTTCGATAAAAACTCTCCCAACCTTACTGCATCTGTTATAATGGTGCTAATCGAAACCTGGACATTTGGAGTTCTGATTTTGTCCAGTGTCCAATTCGGACTTGGTTGGACAAAGGTAGCAGGCTGGACAACATTGGACGATGGCTTACTACACTTCAGCGCTTTTTATAAAGTTATCGTGCATAGCATTGTTTGGCGAATGGAAAGCTTGTTAAGCTCTCAATATAATGAACACTTTTCGGCTGGTAAAATTACATTATAAGCAGTTTAAATGAGAATTTTGAGTGTTGATTAATGCGTAATTTTCGGACATATTTGGACAAATGGCTGACTTTAACAGTTTTGAACGGAAATCAACGAAAATGCCGGACATTAGACGGGTATTAGACGTAAATTTTTATAAAACTGGCATCACTAATCTGCTACTGCTTTGGGTCGAAAATATTGGCAAAAAAATAACTGGGAGCGTTGTTTTTTCGGAGCTATCCCTGTCTTCATTGAAATTCTCATACTATGTTCAAATTACCCCACGCCAAAAGTTATTTTGCCATATTTAAAAACAGGTTTCAAAAGCAAATTTCTTGGATTGAAGGCACTGATTAGGTCATTGTACAACAAAATCCGTTGCGTATTAGGCGCTAGCAATGCAAGATTTTGCGCTGCAATGAAGTTGCAATAACGTGTTTTTAGGCGTTTTTACTGGCGAAATTGATTTTTTACAGTGTGCGTCAGCATCTTCATTCTCTGAAACTTCAAACCCCGTTCATTTGATAGCCCTTTTAGTTACGATAGTTTCCCTCATTGGTCTCATTGTCATGCCACTTATGGATTTTCCGTAATTTTGTGTTTTTCACACTATGTTCAAATTGCCCCACATGTTCAAATTACCCCACCCTACCCTATTTTTGCATTTCCGATGCATCAAATTTAAAACATGACACTTCCTCCACAAAACATTTAATACCTATATCCCAGTAGCGGCGGAACACCTTCAATTAAGGGGGAGGGGAGGGGGTGGGCACTGCCGACTTTTGGTCCCATTCTTTCCATGCAACGCCCATAGGGCTAATGTTAAAATGCCAAAATCAAAGGGGGCACGGTGCCCCTGTGCCCTCCCCGTTCCGCCGCCTATGCTATATCCCATTTAACCCTTGTACGTAACGTATAGGGGCGGCGGGTGGTTTTTCGTTAAAAGCTCACGTAAAAGGCATTAGATCACGACCAAATTGTACCCTCGAGCCCATCATTTTTTTTTTTTTTTTTTACCAGCCCGGAAAATATGACCTGAGACCAGTTTTACCAGCAGAAAAATAGCCGCCTGCCGGAATTTTTGCCTCAAGACCGCTTCACATACGGAGCGTAAACGCGATGGGCACGTAAGCGGATAGGGCTTTACCGTTTACGCTCCATATGTGAAACGATCTTTAGGCAAAAAATTCCGGCAGGCGGCTATTTTTCTGTTGGTAAAACTGGCCTCTGGACCCATAATGACCGTTGGCTTATGAGCTTTTTCTGGAGATCATCTTGAGCCATAAAATCTCACTTCAAGAAGTTATAGCGGGTCCCGATTTTCTCGACACTTATCATTACCCTCTTGAATGAGACGGAATGACCAAGGACCTTAAAAATGGGCAGCAGCGGCTTCCTATTGTCACGGGTAGCACGCTCGTCTTTTTTATGCACAGCTCCATCTCAGAGTCCGAGAGGCCGCGGGGGTCCGATCGACTCCTCCCCTTACGTTAGCGGGCGTTGAAACGCCAACAGACGGGCGACGGTTAAAAGTTGCAGCTGCTTTTGTACGACTGTACGGAGGGGTGAGATGGTGAGGCGAGCAGGTACGTGAAAAATGGTATCTAATCAATGTGTGCTGTGCCTTTGGCCTGGGCTAATCTTTGAACCCTGGGATGCAACAGTCACGATGGCTCCATCACTGGCATCTGTATCACGGAAAAAGTCGCTCATTTCTGCTGAGTTTTATTTTGCGTAAGCATTAATCTGCTTACTTCCCACACTTACCATCATATTGTCACTGCCCAAGGTCTTCTATAGGGAGCCAGAGCTCCAGTTAAAGCTGTAGCATCCGATCCATGCTAGACTACTCTTCTCTGACTAAGCAATATCGGAGTCATGCACATTGCACACCACACCGGTGGAAAAGAAGCATACATTTTCTCTCACAAACAGAACACATGACCGTGTCAGCAATATCGACTCCGACTCCAACCAAAGTTGTCGACAGTTCGACACGCACTGACTGTAACTCAGATTCCGATTCTGCAGTTCTGATTATCGCCCATTTCTCATCCTCATCGTGGGAAATCCGTAGAGCTACTCTGTCCTACATACATGCCAACCAAAATAAAAGCTTTTCGCTCATTCACGCGTGAAACAGATACGTTTCAAATTACGGGCCGTGGCTTTATCCAAAGTAAGCGAATATGATACAACACACACACCGATATATCAACAGAGAAAATGCATATTACATAAAAACGTATTACCGGATCACAACACAATGTTAACACAAATCAGTTTGTTATCTCAGCATATATGTACTTGCTTACGTATCGCCGGAATATATTTTTCCTATGTTAAGATCAGTTAGGTCGGAGTCCGACCGTCTCCGACTCGGACTCCGACTCCGCAGCCCTGGTTTAACCCACGAGCCGCTGGGGGCCTAAAATTGCCCCCTCTTTACGTTTTGTAGAATATCTCCGAAACCTGATGAGCTACGAACGTGAAACTTGGCACAGCTTCAAATGAATACCTAGGAAATGTTTGACGAAAGTTTGGTGGTAGCACTTAAGATGACGACACAGTGACGTCATAAACTTTGGTCGTTTTCCGATATGGACAAGTTTCTGATGTTGCTGAGCATTAAACTCAACTGTAAATGAACTAGACAGCACCTGCTGTCATCCTAAAACATCTAAGTATACCTCCAACTAATTCCTGACCAATAATCGGCCCTTTATATTCGGTCTCATATATCGGATATATCGTGAGGAAACTGAGAGTCGCAAATCGATAATTTGACTTCTGACGTCACTGTGACGTCATTTTAAATGGGATCGACACCAAATTTGGACACAACCTCAACTAGATATTCAGGAAGATGTGTGCTAAGTTTCGCGTCTCTATCTTTTCGCGTTGCGACGATATCGTCGCAGAAGTAAAGGGGGGGGGCAACTATATGCCCCCCCCCCCCAGCGACCGGCGGGTGGCGCGGAGGTCCAGCGGCCGCCGGGTTAAAATATATGAGTATTTGATTCAAAGGACTTTCGAAACACTCATCAGCAATAGGAGGTCAATGTTTTTTTCTGCTGTGCTGTTATTTTGTCTATGGCTCCGTCCAGCTGAGATCCCAGTGTGCGAATCTGCGAACTCAGGGTATCAAATTGTGACGTGTGGTTATGCACTGTAACTGCAACCAAACGCTGGATTGCTTTTTGGCCGGTTAACTGGGCAGCGAGATCGTTAAGTTGTGATTGTTGGTTGTCAAGCCTTGTAGCGATTCCAGACATATGTGTTGCGTGATTTTCCAGGCGAGCAGCGCAGTGTGGCCAAATTGGTTTAGCGTTAGGGGGAGGATGTATAAAAAAGTCGTATGAGGATGTCACTATTTTCAAAAAACTCGTCTTCAGCCTCATTTTAGGTGCAGTTTTTACAGGTACCTAATGTGGAAAAACTATACCTGACTTCAAGTTCTGGTGGAAAGTACAAAAAAAAAACTTCAAATATTGTCATTAAAGATGTATAAAAAAACATTGTAAGCGCGACAGTACAAGTATGACGATGCGAATCGTGCATTGGAACATTTTTAGTCTTTATTCCTACACTAGGTATGCTTTCACGACAAAAACGTCGTGATGATGTAATTTTAAAATTTCTGAGGATGTCATTATACTTTTCATTGGGGGTGACTTTCCCCGCAACATCACCAATTTGGCCACACTGGAGCAGCGAAATCATTTAGTTGTTCTGTATCAGTGTCCCAAAATTGAGTTCTGTCATGGGTGTCAGAGGGGAAAAATACCCACCAAAATGGGGGGAGGTAGAAAACTGCTGATTCGATTAGATCTAAAAGGAGTGAGAAACAACAAAAACATGTATTTTATTCTAGGGTGTAGAATGTTTGATGCTAAACCTGGCATCCACACAACTGCTCCTGGTAAAAAAAACCTAAGTTTTCTTGGTTGGGAGTGGACAATTATTCTTAAATATTGGTGGCAAGAGTGAAAAATGAATTTAATTTGGATGTCGTTTCCCACCCAAATCGACAAATTTTGGGACATTGTTCTGTATAGTTGTTAGCTGTGATTATACTCTTGTCTCGTTTGGATTTCTGATCGTTTAGCGGGATCTTGTCATAGATAAGTTGAGCTTGCTGATTGTCGAGCCTTGTATTCAGTCCGAACATTTGTACCGCATGGTTTTCCATTTTGGCAACGATATCATTCAGGCGTTCTGTATGACTGTCCACTGTGATTTCAATCTTGTCTTGGTTGGATTTTTGACCGTTTAGCTGGATGGTTAGATCGTTGAGTTGTGTTCGCTGACTTTCAAGCCTTCTAGCTATAACAGACACTTGAGTCGTATGATTTTTCAGGCTCTGGCTGTCGCCTCGTCCTGTTGGGATTTTTGGCGGTACAGCTGGGCTGCGACGTCGTCCAGACGGGCGTGCTGTCCGATCAGTCTAGTGGTCAGTTTGTCTATCCAAGAATCGACCAGGGCCAGTCTGTTTTCGATGGACTCTTAACTGTAACTCCATCCTGCGCTCTAAATTCATCACTTGAGACTTCACTCTGCCTTCCAAAGCCGTCACTTGATGCTCCATTATGCCCTCTAAAGTCGTCACTTGAGACTCCATTCTGCGCTCTAAAGTCGTTGCTCGTGACTCCAGTCTGCGTTCTGATGCCGCCACGCGAGACTCCAGCCTGTTCTCCAGAGGTTCAGCTCCTGCCTGCAGCGTGCTGACGATGGTCTGGAGTTCGTCACGCACCAGCTGCTGTACGAACTCTGTCAGTGGGATCGACCGGCTCTCGTCACAGCCGGCCGTCACTAGAAGTACCGTAGGATATAAGAACGTCCCTCCTTTCCAGCTACGGGCCGACATGGTGACACGAGCACAGGAGCAGCGACCCTCAGCTCCTGCTGCCGGCCGCCAACTGAGGGTGCGGAGCTGGCAGAACGACTGCCAAATTCGGCGAGGCTGGCCACGGTCAAGTCCTCACCATCGGCGTCACGATTATTTCCATGGACTTTCCGCGCGGCAGTAAACATTTACACTGGCTCCTGACCACTCCGCTGCAATGCTGCTCCCCCTGGTCATCATATACACTGACTCCGCTGGTGTACTTGGTACTTGGGAGTTGGGTGTGCACTGCACTTAATGATACACGCCGTCTCACATGCCCCCGGCCTGGCGAGGTCTTCCGAGTGCTCCGTAATTCTCGTCTGTTTTCCGAAAGTCCAGCTGTGTTGTGTACTCGTACAACTGTGACTTGTATGTGTATGTTTGTAAGACTGCGACTGAGTGGCTTGCCTTAATATCCCATGCTGCGATTGAATCAGTATACGAATTGTCGCATTGTATCAATATCTCATCCTGTAACTGAATCACTCTACGCCTCTATCACTCTGCAATAATTCATCCTTTAATTGAACCACTCTATCCATGTCTCAGTACTCGTATATCATTTTACGACTGAACCTGTTTGTGACTGTTGCTCGTCTACATATCATACCCTGTGACATAGATAGCATGAATAATGTTATCTATGCCTGTGATTGAACCACTCTGCGACTGTCTCTCCCTCTCCCAGTGATACCGCTCCCATTATATCACTCTGCGACTGTCTCTCCCCTCTCTCAGTGATACCGCTCCCATTATATCACTCTGCGACTGTCTCTCCCTCTCCCAGTGATACCGCTCCCATTATATCACTCTGCGACTCTCTCTTCCCTCTCAGTGACATCGCTCCCATTATGTGTCGTCAGCACGCCGGCTGGGCCGAGCCGAGGGAGTACGTGCCATTCAGCTGGCCGCCCGATGAACCGGTCGAGCAGGCCGGCTGGCTGGCCGGTGTCGAGCTGCTCATTGAGGACCTGCACTGGCTGCTGCGCCGGCCCTACCACAGGTGGGCGGGAGGGGTGTAGTAGGGGTGGCCCGCAGCCCTACCAAAGGTGGGCGGGAGGGCGCCGGGGATGGCTGCTGCACTAGGGAAGAGAGGGTCATTTGCTGTCAACTTATAGAGATAGGGGTAGGGGAGGGTTGCGCAGGTTCTGTTTTGTTAATGCGGGTACATTTCAGTTCCGTTCGTTCGACTGCCGTACCGTTCAGTATCGTGTAGCACGTTCTGGTCACGCACTATAATTGATGTGTTGTACCTATGCTGCAGGTTCTGGTCTCAGGTGGTGTACGACCTGGCGCTGGCCGAGTGTCTGAGCACCACGCTGGAGACGCTGCCGCGGCCCCACGAGCTGACGCTGCTGCCGGCCTCCCCGGCCGTCCGGCAGGCCGTGCAGCAGGTGGCGCTGCTGGTGCTCAAACTGGCCCTCCGAATGGCCACCTACAAGGAGAGCAAGGTAGCCGACGCTGCAGCATATCTGGCCATTTCTGCTTCGTCTCTATTTATTTATTTATTTATTTATTTACTTTTTATTTATTTATTTTTTTTTTAATTTATTTATTTTTATATACCTCTCTCTCCCTCTTTTATACCATCTCTCTTCTCTCTATATTTTTTCTTCTTTTTTCATCATCTTAATCTTGGTTTACGATCGATCTCTCAAGGTTCCATTTTCGGTCTAATTCCGGTCCAGCTCCATCTCCTGCTCACTCAACTTCTTTATTCCTTTGCTCACTTGCTCTCTCTTCCCTGTTCACCCTCCCTCCTTACCTCCCTCCCTCTCCCTCCCCTTTCTCTCTCTCTATCTCTCTCTCTCTCTCTCTCTCTCTCTCTCTCTCTCTCTCTCTCTCTCTCTCTCTCTCTCTCTCTCTCTCTCTCTCTCTCTCTCTCTTTCTCTCCCACTCTGTCCTGCTTCTGTCTCTCACCTCCCTCGACTATAGGGGCTGGGGCCAATTTTCCCTATCAATCACTTCTTTCCATTTATTTCCCATCCCTATGACCGTCCCCCTCTCCCATCTCTCACCCTTATGACCTTCCCCCTTACCCCCCTCCCCCTCAGGAGAACCAGTTGAGCCCGGCGCTATTCGCCCAGCTGGTGTACGACAACTACCTCTGGGACATGGCGCGGCTGATGGACCTGTGCGCCGTCTACTCGGTCTCCAACTGCCAGCTGCTGAGCAGACAGCTGGAGTCGCTGTTCACCCACCAGCCGGCCTATGTGCAGGACCTGCAGCTGACTGTGCTGGAACTGCCGCAGGTGCGAGACGGACGGGGGGGGGGGAGGGGGGAGGTGACCGCTGGTGGATGGAAGGGTAGCTGCAGCTGAGCTCAGTTGATAGTAGAATCTGTTGATCCTGTGGTGTTATGTTGTAGATGCCTATGGCTGATGGTTCACAACTGGAAACGACAGCTGCAAGTTGCCTATGATTGGAAGTGACAGTTATTCTGTTTCCACTTTCCAGACCATAACAACTATTTACTTTCGGAAATGTATGGTCAGTTTTCAACAGTTTGTTTGCATGCAGTATAACAGCTATAAATGGAAAAACAGGATAGTTAGGAGTTACAATTGTCAAAACTATGCAAGCATGACATTCGGTGCCTAACCTATTTGGGGTTTCTGCTTCAATATCCTGGCCTCCCAGGCGGCCAGCTGTCCACTGCTGACCCCCGCCCCTGCTGTCCGACAGCTGCTGGGCCGGGTCGAGGAGCGCGTGGCCGGCACGGAGCTGGGGAAGTCCCTCAGCTGGACCGAGCTCTGGGACGTGGTGCAGTACGTCACCGATCTGGCCACCTCTCTGGACGCCTTCCTGCGCGTCTACCCGGCCGGAAGTGTGCCCTTCAGAGAGACCGGCGTACTGGTCAGGTGAGGTTTGGACGGTTCGGTATTTGCTTGTGTGCGGGATGGGGGGGGGGAAGAGTGAGAGTTTATGGAGCATCGTGCAGGTGCATATAGTTCACATCTCTATAGTTTTCTTAGGCTACAATCATGCTCGAATATTTTTGATGTGTTTAGAGTGTCACCGTGATTTTCGGGTTTTGTCAGTTTTAGGATCCCGTCGATCATTTTTGGTAAAGTAGGCACTTGGTAAAATATTTGGCCCACTAAATGAGGCGCTCATGTGGTTTAACACCATACTGTCTAGCAGTAGCTGCTCATACTCTGACCAACTCTCTGTCTCAGTCTCTGGTTCTGATTGGTCTTCCCGTTTCCCACCAGAATAGCCTCATTTTACGACACGGTGATACCGCGACTGTGGCGACGACTGGAGGCGGAGACGCAGGCTGAGGTTCCGCCGCCGGCCGAGGTGCGGCGCCACCTGCTGCTGTGTCGCGCTGCGCTCATCTCTGTGGTGCGCCGGGCGCTGGAGTACTGCTGTTTGGAGCCGCTCCGTGAGGAGCAGACAGCTACAGAGGCGGCTGGCCGGAACAGGTGTGTACGGCAGAGCGGCGCTATGAGCTACCTGGGACCGGTCGCTATTAAAAGAACGCTGTAATACTGGCGTGGTTAGTTTATGCTATACATTATAAAAAAAGATATAGGCATGTATCACATACACAGACTTTATGGTGAACATCACATATTGAGGGAACAATGTTTGACAGCATACTGTATGATATTACTTCTTGTGAATGATGAAACTTTCGATGCGAAGTGGCTTGACCACCGCCTGTTTCATCACAAATGCTTGTTTGTTTGTTGGGGTTTAGGGGCACGCCGACTGCGAGGTCATTTTGCGCCCACATCACAAATGCCGTTGATCATAGAAATTACCGGCAACCATGCCAATAAAGTTTGTTTGACTATCACCGTTTGATACCAGTGAGTGAAATGTGTAAGTACCTATTGAGCCGATAGGTACTCACGCTCTGCTTTAGCCAGTGTCGTTGTTTGGTGACGTGCCGTGTTGTTCCAGAGAGCGTCTGCTCGACTGCGGTGAGCGATACCTGGAGGTAATGACGGAGTGTCTGGCAGAACAGCACTTCATGGCCGACTACCACCTACAGCACCCGATCAACGAGGATGTACTGACTGTGCGACAGGGCTGCCCGGATCTGTATCCTTTCACAGAGCGGAGAGGCGGCGGGGATGGTGGGGGTGGGCCTTACACAGTGCTTTATGCGGGCTACGGTTAGGGGAGAGTTGGATGGACCTGTGATCTTTCGGAGCGCAGAGAGACGATAGCCAGGGTGAGGAGGTGGATTTGTTATGTGACAGTAGCCAGGGTATGCAAGGGTAGGGCGACCTTTATCCTCGCAGAGTGCAGAGAGGCGACTGGCGGTCAGGGTGGGAGGGGGTAGGATGGATCTATTTACGTCTTCTCAGAACGCAGAAGGGCGGACGACGCGACGATGGGGAAGATTGGTGAGACGGACTGAATAGAATAGGCAGGGCACGACTGATACGGGATGGGGGTGATAATCCGAAGATAAGAAGAGATGGGTGGAAGATTGAATGGGAGATAGTAGACCGAGCTGGATTTAGACTAGCATTGCCTTACTACTCGGTGAGACGGGTCGCGGAAGGGGCAGAGGGATGTCGGTACTGCATGGGATGGGCCAGGCAGTGCAGGTCTGCTGAGGTGCTGGGATGCGGGACGAATGGTTTAGAAAGGAAAGGAACTAAACCTTACTTCGCGTGCTGTTAGCTTTGGCACATTTGTATGATCTTTGGTACGTCATTTTTTCTCTCCTGTCATACAAATTAATGCAGTGGTTTATTGGTCCCTGAAGTTCAACATTTTTTGCAGATGCATTCTATTAAAACGTTCGCGAATGATTGCTACTTGTATTTCAGTAAAAGCATGTAATAACGCATGTAACAAAGTAATCACTGATACGCATAAGGTTGATCACACATCCTTATAATAGCATTCCTTCAACATGGGCTAAATTGTCATTCATTGGTGCAGTGCTGCTCACGTTTTCGGTCGTAAAACAACTGGCAAGAAACTGACCCCTTGAATTGATGATAACTCCCAGAACATGAAACTTTCGGTCATCGCTTACAAGATACAACACTTCCATCCTTTGGTGTTCGGCAATTCTCGCTCTGTTGAAGCTCTCTTGACTAGTGACGTATTTTCTGAATCCCTGAGTGGGAAAATTTGTTCCGAAGGCGATGGTGTGGTAATCTGTGGTATGCCTGTTTTTGATGGGACATCCATTATGCCAGGTGCTGGTCCGTCAGCCGATGGCAAGTCATCCAACGACATGTGACTCGCCGGTTCTTCCAGTGCTGTCGCCCTGTTTTGATCCGTTTCCGCCACTGACCCACTGACCGCCGCCTCTGATGTGTTTATCGCCGTCACTGCCGTCCCTGGCGTGTCCGTGGCCGCCACGGGTCGATCCGTCACCGCGGCATTCTCCCCCTCCGCCGTGTTATCGGCCGTCCCGGTGACCTGCTCCCCTGCGCCCACACCGGGTGTGTCCGAACTCGCAGCGACACTGCCGTCTGCCGGCGCCGCGGGCGGTGCGGCAGCGGGCCTCCAGTCGAGTAGTGCCTCCGCGGCGGCCGCAGCAACTCCGTCTCCGCCGAGTGAGCCGATTGCTGACAGACATTCTGCCGTGTCCCGGCCGAGTAGTCGCAGTACGGGGAGGAGTAGTAGCTGGTGGGTGAGCTGTACGTCGTCTGCAGCGAACGGCGCGGCGTCGGTGATGGTCTTCCGCATCGCGTCCAGCTCTCTTTCTGGCTGCATCGTCAGCTCTGTCATCAGCGCCCAGTCGAACGTCAGGTTCATGAAGTCGATGAAGGAGTAGACGACGCCGATGGCGGCTCGTCCGGAGCTGAGTCGGAGCAGGGCGCGCACAGGGCCGGGCAGCTGCTGTCGGTAGAGCTGGGCTCGGTTCAGCTGGTACACGGACCGCTTCATCTCGGCCTCCAGCGCGGCCAGTCGCAGACAGGTCATCCGGCCGACGGTGCGGAACGCGAACAGGTACCGCCGGTGCTTCAGGAAGAAACCCATCATGTTGAAGAATGCGGTGTAGCGCACGTCGATTTCCTCGTCTCTGAGACCCGGACCGACAGTGCAGTAGTGGAAGACGTTGATCATGTCCAGCGGGATGATGGAGGTGATTCGCGGATCTTTCTCGAAGGCCAGGCTGCTGGGGTCGATGGTGGATGGCGCCAGCTGCTGACATAGTTCGTCCGTGTCAGGAGCTACGGACGCCTGCAGCACAGAGGTGAGCTCGGCAGGCACCCCCAGACCGACCATCACCTGGTTGATCATCCCGCGGAGGTCGGGCGCCCCGCCTCCACCCGACACCACGCGCTGCGTCAGCGGCATCGTCTGCGAGAAGACGCCGAGCTGCGCCTCCATATGTGACGCGCCGGCGGCGAGCTGGTGGCGCAGCAGCATCTCGACCAGTCCCAGCTGCAGGCGGGTGCTGGTGATGGCGGCGGCCATCGGCGGCGAGCCCTCCAGCCCCTCCTGCGCGCGGTTCTTGATGTCGCGCAGCAGCTCTAGCTGGGCGTTCCGCAGGACCAGAATATGCTCGGCCGGCGCTGATTCCTGCAGCTGGCCGGTGGCGCTCACTTGCCCCAGTAGCTGGCCCAACATGCCTCCCGCACCCGAGAACATTGAGGGCAGGATCTCAGAAGCGAACACAGCTTCGCCCTCGGTCAGCGTTCGGCTGACGGGCGGTCTGTTCTCGTCCCCCACCGCCATCCGGATGCCCATGGTCAGGTGAGCGCTCTCATCAGCCTCCATACTGGTGAACGCGGCGGCCGCTGCGAACACCACCCAGTCGTCGTGCACCGGGTGTGGCGCGCCCTCGGGCCCGGCCGCGGCCAGCGCCTCCCAGGCGTCACGCAGCAGGTGCGCGTAGTGTTTGATCGGCACCACTCCGCGATGTATCTCCGACTGCGCCTGCGAGATGAGGCTGAGCACAAGCGCTTCTGCCGCCTCCGAGCCTTCTTCGGCACGCTTCGCTGTAGCTACTCCGGAGCTCCTCCCGTTATCCTCGGCGGCGCCCTCTTCTATATCTTCCCCGGCGCCCTGTTCCGCGTGCTCCTCTGCTCCTTCCCCGGCGACCTCGGCCATCAGCAGCTCCCGCAGCGGCGCGTGCAGCTCAGAGAGCGGCCGCGGCGGTGAAAAATCGAACCGGAACCGGTCGTCGATGCCGTAGAGGTGCTGCAGTGGCCGGCGACGAATCTGCTGCACTGTGGCGAGTACAACGGCCACGTCACCGGCATCCGCGTGGCTGATGAGGTTGTTGTCCGGCATGAAGTAGCTGGGAATGTAGTGTCGCTCCAGACACGTCGCAATGCGATCGAGCATGGCCAGCACGCGCTCAAATAGCTCCTCTTCGATCCAGTTTGTGTCGGCACACTTCTCTAGCTCCCAGAACATGAGCGTCTTGATGTGGTACGTGACCAACACCTTGGGCTCTTGCAGGTAACACTTCTGCATCATTTTGATAAGCACGTATACCTTGCGCTGCTGCGGGGTCAGACTGAGCGCCAGCCGCCGCTCGGGCTCAGAGAAGGACAGGCGCCACTCGAGATCGCGCCGGGAACTGCTGACGTGGCCGGCGCCCACCAGGAAACACCGCGCGCTGCTCTCCATCTCCTGCCGCAGCTGCTCGGGCGGCCACTGGCCGCCACGCACACGCTCCAGCCAGTCTGCCAGCTCTGCCGGCCTCTCGGCCAGCGGCAGCGCCGGCACCAGGTCGTAGTCTTCGATGTGGCTGAGCTCGCCACCAGGACTGTCTGACTGCTTCCTCATCAGTTCCTGGATGTTGATGGCCGGACCCTGACGATGCACAATCGCCCCCGGCCATAATTCCTGAAGCTGGCTGGCCAAGTGTGTGTTGACGCCGTCTATCGAGAGGTACACTGTAGAACCGCGCTTACCGGGACACGGCGTCGCTTCAGATCCCTTCTCCTCTGTCTCCTCAGATCTTCCGTCTACTACTACTTCTATAGCATCTTTATCTGTTCCCTTTCCTTCTCCTTCTTCAACACTTCCTCCCATTGTCTTTTTCTCTCTAGTCTCGAGCTCTTTATTAGTCTGCTTCGAATCGTTCACGTTTTCGTCACTTGCTTTCTTTGCACAGTCACTTTCGTCTGTATTTTCTGTATGCCCTCCTTCCTCTTCTTCTGCAAATTTGACGAAGAGCTCTGCTGGCAATCCGCCCAGTCTCTTCACAGTCAGTCCCGGCACGTCCAGTACAACTCTCGTGTAGCCGCGGTGACTGGCTCGCGTCGTGTCCATATAGAGTGACCCGTCTCCGCGCCGCGCCGCCACGCGCAATGGCTTCATCTCTAGCATCACATCCACATCGGCGGTGCGGTAGTGCGGCAGCGGGTCGCCATCCCGCTCTGTGTAGGGAGGCACCGAGAGACGCTCTATGGACGAGCCGGTGACGTGGCAGGCGAAACTGGTGCCCCGCAGCCCCTCCACACTGTCGAATATCCTCTGGAGCTCGTGTGTGCTCGGCGGTGTGTTCTGCTCCAGGTCGTAGACAGGTACCAGGTAGCGTAGAGCTGCCGACGCGGGTCCGAGCGGCACTCCGGAGATGGGATCCCGCCGCCGGTCCCGCAGGCAGCGACGGAGGCTGACGGCTGCCAGAGGCACTGGTTTGTCGTACAGGGACGGGTGGTACTGGCTGTAAGAGGGGGAGCTGTCCAGACCGCGAGACATGGCTGGTGTTGGAGATCAGGACGCGAGTGTAGCGATTGGCCCGTTGAGGAGGGTGGACGGGGGGGGGGGGACTGCACCAAGCGGTCCGTGCGCCGATTATCACGCGCCAAACGGACGCGGTCAGCTGCCTCGAGCACCGCTCATCAGCCCCGTTCACGGTTTTAACACCGAATGCTTATCACAGCATCCTAACTGACAACAACCTGCAGCCTTTCCACCGACAAAGGCCGCGTAATGCACAGTTCTTCTGCGGGTCCCGCCACCACTGAAATTCCGGATCTGTCTCTCCACTGTGTAGCACCTCGCTTCTCAGCGTTATCGCAGCGACTGACGCGCGCCGCCCGCCGGCCGGCCAGCTGACGGGCGATGACGTCATAGGGAAACTCCGACGATGCGTCAGCGGGGCTGCTGCCGCGCGCGACTGTGAAGCTGCGTTACACTGAACACGGGCGCCGGATGGGAAGAGGGATGGTTGGGGAAGGGAGGGGGTGGGAATTTCGGGGGAAGGGGCAGGTTGAACATATCATCAGAAGGCAGAAGGAATTTTGTCGGGAAGCGAGGAAAGACCTAGCTTCCGTCGTCGGCAGTGAAGGAAATAGATGTATGGAAGTGGTGGGAAGCCTCACCTGGTTCCTTCCGATGTGGTCACCGATGGCAGGCGTTCAGCAGACGCCAGAGGTCAACGATTTTTTACATTTGAAGTGCTCTGATTTTTGAAGTTTGAGTTTGCTTTGATTTTCTTATACAATCCTGACAAGTACTACTTGTAATCGCAAACGCATACATGGTAATCGTCATCGCTGGCTTTGTCAGATTGGGTCAATTTTTTATCTTGGTTGCTTGGCATCAGTTTGCCGTGTTTTCCCCCTGCCATTCTAGTGAGCTGCGTTTGTGTATGTACAATTACATACCAGACCACCCCAGTCGCACGGTCTCCTTGACTGCCGCTCAGTGACCCGGCGCGGCTCGACTACGTCCTGGACGCCGTGCTCAGCGCCGTACCGCCGGCGGCCGTCACCCCGCCCGAGCCCGCCCCCGCCCCCGCCGCGGCGGACCCGGACCCGGCCGGGGCGGGGGCGGGGGCGGGGGACGGGGGCGCAGAGGCCGGGCCGATGGTCGACGGTGTCGAGCTGGAGTCGATGGTGTCCCATGTGCAGGACCTGCTGCCCGACCTCAGTCGCAGCTTCGTCATGGTAAGGTGACGCTGAGTAAGGGACATGACGAACGATGGGAGAATGAATTATCATGGTGAGCTGCTGTTTAATGTGTTTAATTAGCTGTAATAATGTCAATATCGTCAACGTGGACTGAACTTGATGCCATATCCTGTGATGTGTAGTGAAATTTGCACAGCATGTTTCAGGTCTTGCGCCTCTTGTTATCGCTTCATTGTTTGTCTTAGCATTTGTCTCGCTTCCGGGTGTTTGACCTTGATATCTGCCGCCGCAGCCGTGTGGCTGTTTTTTATGAGGCAGTGACTCACTCGCTGCCCCTGTTATCCACAACGCGTTCACTAACCACCCACCCCTCGCCTTCAGGCCTGTCTGGAGCACTACAACTTCAGCTCGGAGCGGGTCATCAACGCGCTGCTGGAGGACTCACTACCCCCATCGCTGGCATCGCTCGACCGTACAGCGGAGGCGGCGCTCCCCCCGCCGCCCGAACCGGCCCCCGCCCCCGCCCCGTCGAGCGTCCTCTCGACGCGACGGAACGTGTTCGACGGAGACGAGTTCGATGTGATGAGTCGCAATGATGTCGACCTGAGTCGATTCCACAAGGGCAAACGGTACGTTAGGGTCGCTGATACGTGGGACTGCTGGGGATCTCCATGGGTTTTGGATTGGATGGCTGAGAGGGGATTGTTTGCATAATTCTCAGTTTGATATTCCATAGTCGTTTTAGCAGGCTCTCACCTTTTTAGTACTTATGAAATCATAATCTTAGACTCATGGATAAGACATCCACTTTTTCTTACGTCATTCATTGATTCTAACGAACAAATAACGTTTAACAAACGGACTACCGCCGCTTCAGACAGTACCGATAATCCCCCTCGCCCGCTCCGTTCACCAGTATGACGGAGGCGCGGCTGGCGCGCGAGCTGGCGGACAAGTCCTCCCTGCGCGAGGCCGGTCAGCGCGAGCGGTACCAGCTGTTTGGGTCGCTAACCACGGACGGTAGCGTGTACGAGGCGATACACTATGAGGACGAGTATGACGACACGTATGATGACGTCAGCACGGGTCAGGAGGAACCCAAGGAGGAGGCGGAGGAGGACAGGTGAGGAGAGGACCGTAGAGGAGGAGTGGAGGGTATAGGCTAGGGAGGAGTAGTGGAGGTTACAAATTAGGCATTGTTTCACCGTGATGTATCAAACGATATTGAGGGTGGAAAATCGTTCGGAAAGGACCCTGGAGTCTGCAACTTTCCGCAGTCTTCTAGAACCCTGCACGAACGGCCCTCCTCGTCCTACCCAATCACTGGGACAGGACAGTGTCTACAAGTAGACTGTAGAGATTAGATGTAGGCGTAGACTGGGGGAGGTCTAGACACAATGGCACCGTTTCTAGCCAGGTATACCGTACAGACTGTCACCCTCTGACCACGCCCCCTCCCCCTCCCGCAGCGGGCCGGTACCTCTGAACCAGCCGCTGCCCAGCTCCCGGTGGCGGCGGCCCGACCCGGCCGCGGAGGAGGACCAGGAGACGTCCGGGCCGCGGCGCGACCACTTTGTCCAGGACCCGGCCGAGGTGCGCGCCCGGCAGGAGGCCCGCCGACAGGAGCAGCAGCAGCGGCGCCGCGGACGGGGCCGCGGCGGCCACCACGGCCCGCCGCCCAACAGGGATGTCGTCGGTGAGTGAGACGACGGTCCAGAATGTGTGCCGTGATTTGGAGACCTATCTGGGGTGCATTGTGTTTCACTGTTGAATATAACCGGGTCGTTATAATTATGGCCAAGATATGCACATGTACAGGGTGTCCGGAAAGTTCTGGCGCTTTTCAACATTTTCTTAAACAAATGCCATTGGTTCATAGATACTCATCAATGGATCGAAACAATGACCAGGGACACCAAGCGACATGCTTCTGCTATGTGCTCATTCAATGTAACCATCGCCGGCGCCGACGACGGCTTCGACGTAGGGGAGGAAGCGCCTGCGGGTTTTAACTATGCAGGACATTTCCTGTCCTCCCATGCTGTCATGATGCGATTCTTCAGCGACTCCAGGTTGGGGTGATAAATGGCCTAGATCCTGTTCTACAAAACGCTTAGCACGCCTTAGTCGAGCGGGTCAGGTTAGGAGAATAAGGCTGCCTAATCTCATTTCGCCACGGTGATCTGACCCGGCAAGATCCTCTGTCAGTTGAGCTTGAACGGCAGCAGCGTTGTCGGTGGGCGTTCTGTGCTGTTGAAATGCGAAGTGACCCTTAGGGCAAGTCGTCTTGACCCTCGGGTTGATGTGGCTGTCCAGGAACCCCTCGTGGACCAGCCTGTTATTCATTTATTCGACATTGACGAAGATGATGGGACATTTGTGTCCATCAGACCCCCGCACTTTCTTCGATTGCCGCGCTGAAATGCCGCTCCGTTCTTGGCAGTCTTGACATACCGCGGTCGTACCGGCCTGAGGATATTTTCTAAGGAATTCCCGAGTCGAAATAAACCTTTACCTGCTAAACCATTCATCGAAAAACGCCGCATCGCGCTGCAACTCGCGCCTCGTTCAAGTCGCACCCCGCCGCCGCGCGCAGGCATTCAGCGACAAGGCGCATCTTTGCCCATTTACCCATCACTAAACACGATTCCAGGGTCATATATACACGACCCCTAGCTGAGCGGTCAACGAGTGGTCATGTCTGTGGTGATTGGCTGAATGTCCAATAATCACAGCGCGCGTTAGACGGCGTCCAAAAGAAGCGCCAGGACTTTCCGGACACCCTGTACACACATATTCAGTCTATTGCATATCACGCTATCCGTTTAGCCGAGCTCGCGTCCTGCCGTCAGTGACCGTACACTGTCGTCTGACTATTCACGGTCCGTCTGTTCCGCCCCTCGGCTGACCCTCGTTCTTTCCTTCCAGGCGCACCGCGCGGCCAGGGCCAGGACAAACAGGTTCTGCAAAACCGGCGGCGGAAAAACGAACAGAAGTCCACCCAGCACCGGCGCGGCGCCGACCGGAAGCAGAGGGGCGGCATGTTCTAGGCGCAGCGCGCGCGGCGTATGTTGGCTGTGTCGGCAGAGTGCCGGGCGGGAGGCGGGTCCCCGTCCGGTGGCTGTGGCAGAGAGCGGCGTGCTCAAGAGAAAGGCCAGCACCCGAGTGTGATCGACTTGGTTGACCGGTGTATCTGCTGTATAGAGCGGAGAGGAGATTCAGGGCCCAGCGCGTGGTGTCACGTGAGTTATATCGCACCTTGACAGGCACCAGCTGCGTCCTAACAAAAACGCCCAAAAGCCCGGACCAGAGTATGCGAGCAGGGGTACGGGGACGACGTCGTGCTGTTTACGTGCATTTTTATCTTGTTGTTTGATGCAATGTCACGAAGATATTTATCTTTTTTCGCACGCAAAGGTGATCGATCGACAAATGAAGCTGTGTATTGACGATGAACATGGTGTTTGGATAGTGAACGACATCAAACCTCACGCAGCCTCACTCGCGGCAAATATGAATTAAACGGCGTACGGCAAGCCCTGCTGCGGATACACAAACCCAATCAGACTGGACCCAGTATCTACACAAACGCGGTGGATAGAGGCAGCCGCTCGGTCACACTGCACACATGGGCAGGCTGCACTCGGGCAGTCTGTAAATGGCAGGGTGTGCCGGATAATTGCCCGTGCAGCTTGCCAAACTTTTGGGATTCTTCGTCGCCACCCTGGGTATCTTAGTTAGTTCGAGCCGCAGATTTCATTTGGTTCACTGAACTAAAAACGATAAGACCACTAAGACTCAGACAGGCGACAGGTGACCGTTGCTATGGTCTGGAGTCTAGGAACAGACACTAGGCGTTTGAGACCAGACCTGTGCGGAACGGGACGCTCGCCGACAGCCGCGCGAGTTTCGATGGTATGCTCATTCACTTAGTATGAGCTATGAATCCCGGGGTCATTCAGCAACTAAGGTGGGGTGGAATCCGTGGGAAAAATCGTTTGGACCCACCATTTCGCCCAAGCTGCCCTGCCGTCTTTAGAACCATAGCCCATCTACGGTCTGACTCGGTCGTCACTTTGCAGTTACATCCACCGCCCATCTCCCATCCCTCTCTCAATGTGTGGCGGCGCGGCGCACCCAGAACCTCGCCCGAAAGTCGTCCGAGCAGCTCATGAACGCCGACGTCACTGGCGAGTGGATGATGTGCCGGACCGGCGAGTTGTGACACAACGACATCAGCTGCTTCCGAGAGGCGTTGCGCGCGTCCCACGAGCACAGACTCTTGGTGGCCTCGTCAGGCAGCATCACAAAGTCCTCGGTGTGGTTAAAGATGGCCCGACTGCGGTGCTGCTGCTTCCCGATGATGCCGGCACCGGTGTAGGCGATCAGGCAGCGGCTGGTAGACAGTTCCCACAGTTTCACCATCGAGTCCTTGCCCGAGGAGAGCACGTACTTGCCGTTCTTGGAGAACACCACCGAGGAGATGCCGGCGCCGTCGTGCGCGTTGGGGAAGGTGTTGACGCAGCGGCTCGACACGCCGTCCCACAGCTTGATGCTGCCGTCGTTGGAGCCGGTGACGTAGACGCGCGCGTCCGGCGACCACCTGTCAGGGCGGGACGGAGAGTCGGGTCAGTCATTGACCTCAACGGAGCCCGAACAGGGGTCGGGATGGGGGACGTTGGCTGAACGGGTCATGATCTAACGGAGGTTCATTGTGTTCAAATGATTCAAATAGATGAATGGCTGTTGCCCCATGAAACACACGGCTGTCCTTTAACCATTCAAAGTCTGGTGAAGTATTTATCGACATAAAAAACAATAATGCAGCAATAAGATCACAACTCTAGCATTGATCCTGAGATCTTCATCCTATGAAAATTACTCATAGTCCCGAAACTTACCTTAGCAGCAAAATGTCAAAAACACTGTCACCGAGCGGCGAGCTAGCACCGCCCAGCTATTCAGAAACAAACCGTATCCAATCCTCCTCCCCTTTGATCCCATCTCCCTCTCCCGAGCCTTACTGTGTGGATGTGACGCGGTTGGTGTGGTGCTCCTTGTTGAACGGGTTGACGTAGCACTGCGCCGTGGCGATGTCGTATACCCGCACTGCCGTGTGATCCGTGCCCACAGCCATGTAGTCGCCGCTCGGGTGGAAGCTGAAACAGCGCACCGGGATGGCGTCCTGGCCGCCCCGGGGGTAGGGTCAGTGGCACGGCCGGAAAGGGAGGCTTAGTGGTATAGCCGGTAGAGCGAGGGTTAGTGGTAAGACCCGTTGGGGGATAATGGGGCCAGGAGAGGGGTCAGCGTGAGGTCAGCCGTCATATGCAATGTGGCCAGGCCAGGCCGGTGGAAATGTCAACAACGACCGACAGAGTAACTGCAGAAGCCTCAGAAGCACTGTGCCCTCGTTCATCAATCCAAAGGAATGCTCTAACTTACATCCCCTCCCATAATTCCATTCCCCATATCCGCCCTCTTATCCCAAACCCTCAACACCCACCGAGATGACGGTCGTCGCCTTCTTCACCGACGACTTGCTGTACTCGAAGATTTTGATGTTGGTGTCGCGCGAGCCGGATGCTAGCAGCGGCAGCCGCGGGTGGAACTCGAGCCACGTCACCTCGTCCACATGGTCGTAGAGCGTCTTGATGACCGGGTGGTGGCCGGACGAGGCGTCTATCATGTCCGGCTCGTGCGGCTTCTTAGCCAACATGCGGTCCACGTCGATAATCTGCGAACAAAGAGAACAAGGGCCGAGATCGACAACACGTCAACAACCTCAGGAGAGGGCGAGTAGGACGCTAAATCTCGATAACTTCGGGTCGAATTCGGTGATATTCGGAAAACGGAATAGCTGGGGTGAAAGTGATAATATGTCGATGATATCTGCGAGGAAAGCGACGGAGATCTGGACACTAAGTCGATCATCTGTGGACGCGAAGAGCGACCGAGCAAGGCAGCTGCTACAGGGTCTGGGGAATGGCTATTGTAGACGGGAGCTGCTTTGCTTCGGTGCCTAAAAATGGTTGTCTCCTGTTCGAAAACGGTGCACACGGAAAGGGCTGTCGGCGAACGTCTAGTTTTAATTCCAAGCATATATTTCTCCATGTTTCTTATAGTGAATTGGAGTCTAACTATCGGAAGCACTGAAGTTGCATTTTTTCCACGCAGCCGTACTTCGATATCGGCATCCATGTCGACGCTGGCCTACCTTGATGCTGACACCCACGCGGTATCGTCTCCTCCTACCTTGATGCTGGCATCGACGCTGCCGGTGGCGATCAGCTGTCCGTCCGGGGAGAAGCACCCCGAGCGGCAGGCGCCCTTGTGCGAGGTCACGTAGCAGGTCTCGTAGGCGGCCGGCTCGGGTGCCACCGTCGGCATGTCCGACTCGAACTCCAGGTCCAGGCCCGAGGTGAACGTGTCCTCCGTCTTCACCCGGTCCTCACTGGCCTCTGCAGGATCGATCGGGCAATATGTCAGTATGTCACACATGTGTAATTAATCTCATATTGACGATAAAAACATTTCTTCAAAGCAATCCTGCATGGTCTAGTTCAAGTTCCAGCCAGGTTTTGAATTTGTCAGCAGTTTAAGCTGTTGAAGCCTTACACAGAACTCACCCTTTTCCTTCTGCAGTCCGAGCAGCACCAGCCGGAACAGCCTGTCTGATGGCGGGCAGGCGGGGTCTGGCTTGATGGTCTGGTGCATACTAGAGGCCAGCGTCTGCTGACCATCATAGTATAGCTGGCTGCAGGTCAAAGGAACATGTCAGCAGTGTAGCCACAGCACCTGGAACCCAATTTGGGGCACAACTTTTTTAACTTACAGCACAATTTAAAGCACTAAATCACAGCTTCAATTAAATCGTTTCCTGTTGTACAGAATGTGACAATATTTTTGCTGAGTCATTGAAGGACTGGGCAAAATTTCTTGAAAAACTAGTCAGCAGTACTGACTTGTTTGCATCTATAACCTAACTAAGGAAATGCTTTGGTAAGTGGCAAGGGACAATGCAAATAATTATGTTAGTGCGCACTAGAACTAGACCATGTCCAGAAAATCTTATTAGATCATATAAACTAATAAATAACAGCTAAACAAAGTGACTGGACCAGGTAGACTGTAGTAGAGGGCTTCAGAATGTTGATTTTGAAGCTCGCTGTTACAATACAAGCAGCACACCAACCTGATGATAAGCCGGTAGAGTGCTTCTCGAACCTTCACCAAGCTGTTAAGGTCAACTTTCTCAGCGTCTGCCATGCCTGGAGTTATTCTGCTCAGACCAGCTGAAATATAAAATATCACATAATTTAGATGGTACCTACCCATCTTAAAAATCATATAAAACCAAAGTAAACGTAGGTTATGAAAAAATACTCGCAGCCAGCAACTTTTCTAATGGCAGTAAAACTCCCCCCCCATGCTGACATTTTAATCAAACAAAAACAGTTTTTAATCACAATTCTTAGAAAACTACCTCATTTCATAAATCAAAATGGAAAAATAAAAAGAATCAAATACACATGACCTTAGGGGGAAAACCCGGGCTGAAAAAGGTAAACTGACAAAAAAAAACTACTTTTGCTGAATGCCTACCCACAGTGTATATAAATATATAAATATATAAATCTGCCGGTAAATATTTACTTTAGGACCGGCACACTTTTTCAAAGGGAAATTTTCGACAATCTTCCATTATTTGACATCCTAAATCAAGAAATGATACTTACATGTCACCAAAACTGCAAAAAGTCACACAAAAACTTGATAAAATCCAGCCATCTCACCCCGCGTCACGTAACGTACACCGACGAAATTATACGTATGCGGCGATTACGATATAAACAACGTGTTTGCGCCGTTGCCATTTGCGAAAAGGAAAAATATATGCATGTTTAATTCAATGAAAATGACGTCATAATACCAAAAAAATACATATTGGCGAAATTTAGATGGTTAAAAATTGGGTGATATGGGGTAGGATAGCAAATTTAACACGGAAAAAATTATCAGAACATAACCTAACCTTACCTAACCTGACCTACTGATATTTGCCTACCCGAGGATAAGGAAAAAGTTGCTCGCATGAATAGATTGCAAGCAATGGTAGGTCAAATATTTTTAGGTTAAGTGATTGTGCATTAGGCTTCAGGCCTTCGGCCTGAAGCCAAATACACAACCACTTAACCTAAAAATATTTGACCTACCATTGCCTGTAATCTCTCCTAAGGCATTGCCTTCGGCACTGCCGCTGCTTCGCGACGAGAAATTTCATGACGTCACTTTCCTCACAGTTGAATAGCATCGTTAATATGTATTCACTAAACCTTGGAGCGCAGTGCGTGGCCGGTGGAGTACGCAGTCGGTGAGATCTACGGCGGTGACGGTAAATATTGTATTGGTGCATTTTAACTTGTTTGTGCCATGAATGACTATCAGCTATGAAATCAAAAGGTCAAATTATGTCATGCGATATGCTTCTTACTATCACTTGGGGTTCGCGACGAAAGTAATGGCTGCCGGTCCTAAAGTAAATAAATACCAATCTGCCTACCTAGGGCACCTACCATGAAATTTCTGGAAATTTCCAAAACGAATTTTGATTTCCGTCTTTTTCCCGACCAAGGACGCACATGCGTTCGTTGCATCGTGTTCAAACGGTAGCGATTGGAAGAGGTTGAACTTTAAGCCTGAGGTTTTTTGCAAATGATTGCTTAAATTAGTAACGAATAATAAATAAATAAATTTTTTACGGCGAGAACCTATAGGTTATTGAAAAAACGAGTTTTTCCATTGCAATTTAAGCAGTATTTTAACCTAATGACGTCATTTTTTGTAAGTTTTCTGTTCAGTTACAAATGTCGCAGAAGCGTCGTTTTTTATTTTCCGTCAACAGTTGTTGAATGCTTGGGTTTGATAATTCACAATTCATGCGAATTTTTGTTTAGTGCACGGTAAGAACGGTAAGAAGTAAGAACTCTGTTGAACAGTATTTGACATTTTCAAGGTGTTTGGGTAGGTGCGTGGAATTTAATAGAGGGTAGTAGTGCGGACTGCGGAGCTGCTCTAATTAACTTTAACTTCGGCAGCCTTGAGTCCCTTGAGTCAGCCCTGAGTCAAGATACCGAAATCTGCATGACGTTACGAGCTAAAACCCCGGCTGAAAAAGTTAAATTGACAAAAAAACTTACTTTCCAGGTGATTTACAGCCAGGTTACTTTCGTTACTTTAGTCCTCACACGCAAACTCCGTAGAGACTTCGAAACTCAATTGGCTACCGATTTGAAAGAGAATCCGAAGGCCTTCTGGAGGCATACTAACTCGAGACTTAAAACAAAGACAGGTATAGGGGATCTTCGGAATTGCTCAGGAGATCTGATGAGTGATGATAAGGCGAAGGCTGACATTCTAAATGCGCAGTTTGGCAGTGTTTTTACTCAAGAACGGCTCACAGACATTCCAACCCTTGCCAGCGCCAGCACTACTCTAGAGGTAACCGATATCCGAATCACACCGGAGGCCATTGAACAAAAGTTACAGGCCCTCAACCCGTCCAGTGCTCCTGGACCAGATAACATACACCCAAAGGTGTTACGGGAGGCACGCCGCGTTCTGAGCCGACCTCTTTCGCTACTTTTCCGGAGATCTCTGGACTTGGGCATGGTTCCTCGGGACTGGACACTGGGGAGGATAGTACCTATATTTAAGAAAGGGAACAGACAGGACCCTGGCAACTATCGGCCGGTCAGCCTTACCTCTGTTGTCTGTAAAATACTGGAATCCCTCATCAGAGACACAATCTATCAGCACTTCTCAGAGAACCACCTGTGGGCAGACTGCCAGCATGGCTTCCGGCCAAAGCGCTCCTGCAGCACCCAGCTGGTCAAAGTGCTTGATGACTGGAGCAGGGCCCTAGAGAATCATAAGCCTGTCGATGTAATGTACCTGGACTTCCAGAAGGCTTCGACTCTGTTCCTCACCAGCGACTTCTCTATAAACTCAGGAGTCACGGGGTGAGCGGTAAGCTGATCACATGGATCGGGGCTTTCCTGAGAGCCAGGAGACAGCAGGTAGTGATTAATGGTCAGTCATCTGACTGGTCGGAGGTGGTCAGCGGGGTACCCCAAGGCTCGGTCCTGGGTCCACTACTGTTCTTGATTTTCATTAATGACATGCCTGAGGTTGTTGGTTCCTCGCTGACGATGTTCGCGGACGACACGAAGCTGTACTCCACGGTAGCCTCTACTCTCGCTGCGTCTAGCCTCCAGTCTGACCTCGAGGCTCTGGTCAACTGGGCGGACGCCTGGCAACTCCCCTTCAATGAGGCGAAGTGTAAGGTCATGCACCTCGGACGAAACAACCCAGCAAAGCAGTATGTGATGAGAGACTCTGAGATGAGCGTCGTTCGGGTGGAGAAGGATCTGGGCGTGCAAGTCGATGACGAGCTGAAGTTCAGACAACATGCTTCAGCAGCCGTAGCCAAGGCCAACCAGATTCTCGCTGTGATCCGTCGCTCATTCGTGCTGATAAACGAGTGCACGCTGCCGCTGCTTTACAAGTCCCTGGTGCGCCCGCACCTCGAGTACGGCAACCTCGTGTGGGGCCCTTTCAACAGGGCGGACCAGAAGCTGGTGGAGAGGGTACAGCGCAGAGCTACGCGCATGGTGGCCAACCTTCGCCACCTGCCCTACCAAGAGAGGCTCAGGGCTCTGAAACTTCCATCGCTGTACTACCGACGCAAACGGGGCGACATGATATTCACCTACCAGATGTTCCATGGAGGGGTTGATGTTGAAGTCACGGATCTCTTCTGCCCCGCCACGGGTGCCGTTACACGAGGTCACCCACACAAGCTCCGCAAGCCAGAGGCGGTCAGCAGACTGAGGAGAGCTGCATTCGCAGTCAGGGCCGTGAACGACTGGAACGGCCTACCTGCTCAAGTGGTCAGTGCCCCCACCGTGGACTCGTTCAAGGCGAGACTCGATGCCCACTGGGGCCATCACTGGTATCATATGCCAGACACGGATTAACAAATGGCAAAAGGGACAGGAGCTCGGTTAGAACGGGACCTCCAGGCCGAGTTGGCCTTTATTATGCCCGAACACCGTAAGGTAAGGTTATGTTGGGATTGTTAGGTAACCTTTTAACTCTTGAGCCCAGGCTGATAAGACCAGTAGCGGCTGAACACCTTCAATTATGATTAAGGGGGGCACTGTCAACTTTTGGCCCCATTCTCTCCATGCAACGCCCATAGGGCTTATGTTAAAATACCAAAATTAAATACGGCACAGTTGCAGTGCCCCGGTGCCGGGTGCCCCCTGTTCCGCTGCCTATGGATCAGATTGGAACCACATGCAGCATTGGAATTGTGGCCTCTTTCTGCATCCCCCGCATTTTATTCTCTGGGTGGTTTGGCCCCGTCCAGCGTTTAGCCTCTCAGGATCCGCTCAGGGCTGTGGTTGTTTATTGATGCTTCCCCCAGATGAGGTTCAAAGTTGATAGTCACTTGGAGCTTATTTAGGGCCTCTGAAGACGAATATGTGAATTTACAAATGACGAATATGTGAATTGTGAATTTGAAATAAACTGATTCTACAAAGCTCTTTTCTTTCATCTATTGTATAACATTTACCAATAATTCTTGACTAGGCTGATTTGGCTCAGGCCACAAATAGCCATTTATCTTTAATATTTGACAAGACTCCAGCAATTTGGTTTTGTTGTTAGGTGGATTTATGCTTGTTAACCCACGCCCTGGTGGGGAGGGGCTATTTTTTGCCCCCCTCCCCTCAAGACTTTTCGATATATCTCCAGAACTGCTGCACCTATTGTCACCCAACTTTGAGTACCTTCCTGGGCATCAATTTTGCACATTGTGACCAAAAATTTTCCAAAGGCTATGATAGGTTAGCCGCAAATGACGTCAGAGTGACGTCTTGTTCTGCCGTTTTCGACAAAAAAAAAAAAGGTTTCGCGGGAAGAGCTGTCAGGCCTATAACTTTGAAGATACAGAAAACATTTAAGACATAAAAGGTGAAGAATTACCAGGGCTACAAAACTGCCATCTCGTAATTTTGAATTTCTGAATTTTGACCCCCCAAAATAAAAAAAAGTTTTTGATTATAATTGCCAAAAAATCCAAAAAGTTTTTCGAATTTAGAAAAAAAACGGAATACCTATATGTGATAGCCCTCACCAACTTCTATTCACATACCAAATTTCAGATCGATCCCTCTTTTTTTGGCCAAGTTATAGGGAAAAAACTTCAAAATTGATGACGTCAAATTTTCAAACTAAATTTTTAGCGATTCTAGGCCACGTAGCGCAAAACAAAGACCACCATTAGACTCGCCGTGAAGAGCTGCATCGAATTTTTTTTTTTGAAACCCATTTTATGCAAAACTATCAATTTTGAAATTTGACCTTTTTTGACCTGACATTGATCTGACCTCCACCAGAAAGTGACCTTAACCATTCCTGATGGTCTTATAACCAACACCATTGATTTTGAAATGAAGATTTGGCCATAAAACATGCATCACACAGCCCTAGTAAAATTGGGTTCATGTGCTGACCCTTGGTGACCTGACCTGTGACCTGACCAGGTACTATCAGTGACCTCGGCTCTAATAGCAACATATGTACTAGGCAACTGACGCCCCATCGCTGATTTTCGATAAAATGCGTTTTTCTCGATGTTATAACTTATAGCGCATTCCCTAGAAGACACGTGACCGACAAAACATTTTATCTTTGACCTGACCTGTGACGTCATCGGTGAACCCGAGGTCAATAAAATTAGATTTTCCCCGCCAAATTTGACAGAGCTTTCAAACGCAGTTTGAATTTTGCGGATCCGTCCAGTATTTTCGGAGATACGAGGGGGGGGGGCAAAAATAGCCCCCCCCCCCACGAGGTCGCGTTATAAACAGACCCCACCAGGGCGCGGGTTAATGGTGCAATTGTGGCAAGAGCCAGAAAATAACATCATCATGACAGGTGCCTTTCAAAGTCAGTTGAAATGTGATTATTGACTGGTTTCCAGTGTGAAGTAAAGAAGGAGTCATATGAATAATAAACCTAGATTTAAAATGTCTCCTGACTAGAAATGTTCACATGGTCACCTATCTGCTGTCACTCCGTGATACTGGCATTCCGGTGGTAATTTATCTGACCACAGTTGTGTCTGCAGTTCGACTGATCCCGTGCCACTGGTGAAGGGATGCAGACAGAATGAAGGCACATCTACTGGTGCTCAGCAGTCTGGGACTGTTGCTGCTCTGTGGTGGAGTCCACGGAACATTCGACTTCTTCCTGTCGCGCGATGAAGTCCGTAAAATGGACGGTAAGGAACAGAGTGATTCAGAGACACGCAAGTGACATGCTCGCATCGGTATCGTGATAAGCGGGATGAAACTATGCTATGGATGTGACTTGTCTTTGCTAATCACCAGAAGTTCACGAATAATCTTCATATTTGGCCGATAGTTTTCTATTTTGAAGCCATTCCTGATGATTCATATCATTATGTAGGTACATTTTCAGAAGTGTGTTTATTGACGCTTTTTACCAATGGTTTTACGCTTTTTCAGTCGTTGGGTGGCCGGACACGTTTTTCTACGTGGATAACGGCAACGTCAACCACAACACTGTGGCATACAACTTCCAGGTCCCATACGAAATGAACACGCTCACGTTTTCGTGGCGTGCAAGAGACTACAATAATGTAAGTGCCCTTCATTTTATCGATATTCATCTTTCTTTAAGGCATAGCGATATGACTTTCTCGATCGATGCATGCCAATTTTTCGTGTTAATTAGATTTTCACGGTTACTTTAGCGATGCGTGGTCAGTGTTGCTCGTATTTGGGTGCGCATGATGCTGAACTCCCAGCGATGTTGACACAGGCTGGTTACGTCTGACCGGACCGGTGGCGGGTGGGCTGTGTTTCCAGGTGACCTACTCCCTCTCCAGCCACGTGCTGCCCGGCAGCGAGGACAAGCTGCGCTCCCTGGCATTCGACGTACCGGCCACAGGTGAGCTACAGTGCCGTCTGACACCAATCGGCGCAGCTGCAGCACGGGACGGAAAGTGTGGGATGATGGTTATCTGTCCAGTCGTCAATTATCTTAGCTCGTACTTTTCCTATAAATGTGGAATTGCATACAATCTGAGGTAGTCCATCATACTTTATCATAACCATGCAGGCATTTTGTGATATTGTCATATTTTGTCGAATTTAACCATATTTATGGTGCCCAGTGCCCGGTACGTGCACTGCTTTACACTCCCATAGCCTAGTCGCTGTGCTGACGCTGAGCTCCGCCCACCGGCTGCCAGGTCGCATCCCGCTGCGCGAGGGTCAGTTCCGACTGAACCTGAGGTGCGCTCCGGAGGCGGCGGCGGCGGAGATGGCGCCGTCGCCGGCCGAGTTCGTCATCCAGCTGGACGCGGTGGCGGCCGGGAAGCTGACCAGCGTTCAGCTGAGGCGCCGGAAACACTGCTCAGGTAGGTATATACATGGGAGGTGGAGGGGGCTAACGGGAAGCCAAGGGGACTAACGAGGATATGGGAGGCGAAGGGACTTTCGGGTTATCTGGGCCGTAGAACGAAGAGCCGGAGAGCGATGTACAAGCGTCTACAGAAGTTATTAAAGGCGACAGTGTTCAAAATTAAGCTTTCGTTAAATCCTGATGTCGGTTTCAACGATATTTTAGTCCGGGCCAAAACGATGGTTTTGGCTCGGACCATCGTCCCACGTTTCCCCCGGCCCCTGTCTGACCTCTGACTTGTATGACCCACAGAGCCATCACCGTTCGAGGCGGACATCGTGGTGATGCCGCGCCGGGACGGGATCGGCTCAGCGGCCACCTTCTACGTGGGTCTCGGCGCGCTGGTGGCTCTGATGGTGGGCGCGGTCATCACCGGTGTGGCGGTGGCCTACTGCAGCAGAGGCTGGGAGAGCACCCTCAGACCGTGAGTGGGGGAGGGGTTTGGAGGGGGGGGGGGGCAGTGCGGTGGCCTACTGCAGCAGAGGCTGGGAGAGCACCCTTAGACCGTGAGTTGGGGGGGGGGGGGGTACATTGCAGCGGCCTACTACGGCCGCGACTGGGAGAGCGCCCTCAGACCGTGAGTGGGGGACGGAAGTGAAGCTAGAGATTAATTGGAAACGAGGTAACCATTCTGTTACTTAGGAGCCATGTAGCCCTCAGCTTAGCACGTCGGCTAACGATTGCTAAATCGTATTGGTTTTAACTTGGTGGCTGTAACAGTTATCCGTATCAACTCGATTGTGGAAGATGAGCGAGAGACATTCAAGCCTAGCGCCCTCTGCACAGCTATTTTATGTCGCAGATACTACGCTGCCCTCTTGAGGAACTTCATGCTCATCGTGGCTACACTCTCACTGCCATCGTGACTCTCGTCTTTCCTTTCCGCCAGTTCCCCGGCCAGTCAGTACTCGTCAGTGAACGGCATACCACCGCCGCCCCCGCCGCTTTCCGCCCTACCGTCTGCCAGTCCCGCCGGCTCCGTGGGTACCCTGACATCACGGCCGGCCGGGGAGCCGCCCTCTGTGCCGCCCCCGCCGCCGCCCGGACCGCCGCCGGCCGCCCCCGCCCCCGCCCCGGTGCTGGAGCCACTGGATGTGGACAGTCTGGAGGTGGAAGAGGTGCTGATGGAGGGCACGTTCGGCCGCATCTGCCGCGGGAGACTGGTGAAGGATGAACAGGATGACCTGCCCGTGCTGGTCAAACTGGCAACAGGTGAGTGGGGCGTCGAGAAAGAACGCCTGAAACCTATCCTTAGACATCTTTCTGTGTATGAATTCGTTTCATCTAATTGGGATCATAAGCAACTAGGAACTAGATCAGCATATGTATCTTGTGTTGTGTGCCATACAGCATTTTGCTCGGAGAATGGCAGCGCAGTATATTGACAGGCTTCATATAGCCTTGTGCTTCAGAACCGCCCTCCTTAGCTGTTATCCCCTGCCTGCTTATCCTAACGTAGCGTATGTTTCCGCGCGGCAGAGGTGGCCTCCGACACCCAGGTGTCTGTGATGCTGCGTGAGGCGGCTGCCATGACGGCACTGGCTCACCCGAACCTGCTGTCGGCCATGGGCGTGGTGGATGACGGGCCGGAGTCGCGCCGACCGCGCATCGTCTACATGTACTACCCGAGCGTCAACCTCAAACGGTAAGACATCGTCTATCTATGCATCCATGAAGCTAAGATACATTCAGCTAGGATTTGGAACGCTTACATCTCTGTTTCAACAAACTACTTTTTATTAATGGTCTATTTTTATCGTCCAAAAAGTCACACTTCAGTTCTTTCCAGTCTGTCCCTTTCTCTGCTCCCTGTTGTCAGGTTCCTGCACCAGTGCCGCTCGGCCGGCGAGGGCTGGCCGCTCACTGACCCCTCCCCTCCCCCTGTGTTGTCTCTCAGGTTCCTGCACCAATGCCGCTCGGCCGGCGAGGGCTGGTCGCGCACTCTGCTCACACAGGAGGTAGTGCACATGGCCGTGCAGGCTCTGAACGCCCTCAGTCACCTGCACCAGCACTCGGTGGTGCATAAGGACGTGGCAGCGCGCAACTGTGTGTGAGTACAGCGGGGTGGCTTGGAGGAGGGCTAACGGGGGTTTGAGAACTACGGAGAAAGGTTGCGAGAGGGGGCTGCGTTGGTACGGCGAGTGAACGAGAACCGGAAGAAAGCACCACGTTTGAGTTACCGGAAGGGGTGATTGTGTGCACTACAATTACTGGGTGACGGTTCGAAAACTTTGTTGGCGTAGCGCAACTCAGTAATTGCAGCTTGAATGCTTTGTTTGTTTATCTGTTGTTAAAAGTCATCTAACCTTTAGATTGCAGTGATGGACTTGACTCCTGTAACTAGAATTATCCTGTTCACTCCAGCTTTTTCCACCCCTCACCCACAGCGTGGACGACCAGCTGCGTGTGAAGCTGTGCGACCTGGCGCTCTCGCGCGACCTCTTCCCGGGCGACTACCACTGTCTGGGCGACAACGAGAACCGTCCCGTCAAGTGGCTGTCGCTCGAGGCGCTGTCGGAGCGGCGCTTCTCACCGGCCGCCGACGTCTGGTCGTTCGGCGTCCTGTTCTGGGAGCTGATGACGCTCGGCCAGCAGCCGTACGTGGAGGTGGATCCGTTCGAGATGGCTGCCTACCTGAGGGAGGGCTACCGGCTGGCCCAGCCCGTCAACTGCCCTGACGAACTGTGAGTAGGGGCGGGAAAAATACAGACAATACGGACAGACTGGGGGCGGGGGCGAGAATGGAGAAGACGGTATTTATCTTAATCTCAGAGGGTATGGTGTGCGAAGGGCTTGGGATGATGCAAATTGTGTCTAATTGTTTAAAGTGCCTAGTGTGTTATAGATTTATGTTACACATGTGAAATTTTGGCTCTGGCAATAATCTCCTAGCATTTACCTTCTGTTTTACGTAACTCTTCTCTTGCTTTAGCCGATATCTTATTTATCCTGAGCTGCCACGCCTTTCCGTGAGTTATAGGCTCCGACATGCGTCGTCCACTGACTGAGTTTGTGTACGTCTGACTGCCAGGTTTGCGGTGATGGCCTACTGCTGGGCCACGGAGCCGTCCGAGCGGCCGGGCCTGCATCACCTGCAGACGTGTCTCATCGACTTCCACATGCACCTCGACAACTACGTCTGAGTCGCCGTCTCTGTCAGCCGCTTCTCCCCTTCTGAGCCGCCGCCCACTGCCACTCGACCGGGCGGGGAGAGACCGAGTCTCAGTACTGGTGATACAGGGTATTCGGCATTTAGGTACACCCGACACTGACAGACCGTGGTTTTAGGGATCGGTGGGATTGTGGAGTGCTTCGCTACAGTCTGCTGCTGCATGTGTGGGTGTCTGATGGCGTGTGTGTGGTTCGGGGACCACTCTGATCGCTGCCATAAATGTTGCTCGCAGTCGCGTGTAAGTGATGCATATCTTTGTTCGGTTAGCCATATCATACATTAGGATCAGCGTTCGCTGTGTAGCGCCCTGTGATATTTCGCCGTCATTGCTAGCTCGTGTTTCTTTGAACGGTTCGCTTTTTCCATGTGCCGTGTGCGTAGACGATGTTTTTATGTTTGAAGGGTGGGCCGTAGTTCTATTTGCATCAGAGGCGATTGCCCGCAAGTATGGGCTGCGTGACAATGAATCTCGGCGATCGCCTGTCTACTGCAACGAGAGAACCTCTGATGTGTCTGATTCGATTTTTATCACAAGTGACGACTCAAGAGGTGTGATGGTAGGTACGCATTATGAGCATCAACTACTATTGATTTGTCACGCCTGTAGCAATGAGATTTTCACTAGATAAAAAATATGAGATTGCCAGTAAGTATGTTCAGTAGGTATTGCGATGTGCGTCGTCTGCAGCCTGACAGGTATGGGCTCTATTTCCAGTTGCTTGGTACAAAGTGCGGCTCCATGGGTCACACGGAGGTGCTGAGTTAAAGATAATGTATTGATACATCTAGTTCGTTGATATGTTTGGTAAGTTGGTAGGTTGTTTCTCGTATAGGTAATTATTTTACCTCTCGGTTGATGGCACGCCCAGGTGATTGTTACGGACCCGGTTGTAATAGTATGTTTTGTGACGTATTTTCACTATGTATAATGGTATCTTATCTCCTCGATGAGTATCTTCGGTAGGTTTGCCTGGACGTGTCTCATCGAGAACGCGTCATTAAATGTCATTGTACCTTATAGAATATGCGATACGCGATGTTGCTTATGGCATCCTCCACACTATGTTCATATCGTCAAGGTTGTCATGGCAACGCTAGTTGTGCGCGTTCATAGGACAATGATTCCAGATGGGTACGCCTTTTGTTGATTTTTTTTTTCTGACGGCGTTCCGATTCGTGGGGTCGGCCCAGGCTGACCAACCGCCGCGTCGTAACTGTGCCACATTTCCATTGTTTCGCAACATGTTTCATCAGGGTTTTAGAGAGCTTCGCGTTAGTCTGAACCTCGTGCACGAGGCAAAGGCGGCCAGAAGTGTCATTGTGCGCATGTCTCGCTATCATCAGCTGGCCGACTGCATCGGTAGACTTCCGTTAGCCAGTTTTTACGCATTTTTGCTACGTCAAATGCATTTGTAATTAAGCAAACCAATGTTTTGCTTGCCGATGAACGAACGTGTAGACTTGTCCGGAGTCCCAACACCCAATCCGCCCAATGCTGTAGGCAGACATATACAAGAACATAGGAAGGTCGCTCGCCATGTATTCATAAAGCCCGGAAGAGAAGCCGGACAAGTTACACAAGCACGCATTCACATACATTCATTCAACACACGCCGGATATAGCCTACTAAAAGCATGACTGATCACGGAAGGCACATGTCTAACTGTCGGCCAGAAAAGGGCAGCATTCACGACATCCCTTTTCACAAATAACTACAAACTACGCCGCTTGTGTACATTCGACGCCCTGTAAAAACACAGACAAATATGAAATGGAACAAGCACGCACACACACACAGACACCGTACTATTTTGTACAATTAACTATTTGTACAACTGCAAACCAATGGTCTGATCCGAATAGTTTGGTCCAATACGATCGGCAGCGCATTGACAGCCCCCGATGACAGCACTTCATTATTGGTCCCTAATCCCTATGCTGACGAACCCAGCCCGCGGGGCCATCGAATGACGAAGGAGTCCACATCTATGATCTAACCAATGCATCGTTTCACTCTTCGTCAACTTAGACCAAATGTAGCATTTGAGTACCTATCAGCCAGGCAGAAAATACCTGGGCAGACGCGAGACGTTTCAAGGATCCCAATTTAGACAGGTAGCGTTCGCTACCAACTTTCTCCTCCAAACCCAGCCGCGTCACGCCGAACCCCTGACACCCACCCCTCCGACCTGCTAGCTGGCCTGTGACCCTGCCGGCCTCAGCATCATATCCTGGAACAGCAGGCCCAGGTCGATGTGGGAGTAGTTGCTGAGACGGATGGCGGCGTCGGCCTCCGAGCTCAGAGTGTGATAGGCCGCCTCCAGAGCGGCAAAGTCAGGCGTTCGCCGCACGACCTCTGTGGACAAGCGGGGGAGGGAGTTACATTGTGTAATGTGTATTGGTGCTTTAGGTAGCACCGACCGCCATTTTACACCAATGGAAATTAGCTGACTTCATTAGGGGGCTGAATGGATTATGGAAAGGAACAAAATGAGGCGTCAGCAACTTCACCAGTCATCAGACGTGAGCAAAGAAGTTAAATTTAGGCACATGCAAAAGACATTCTGCGAGTTATGATAATCAAACGACAATATCAATTAAGTACTGAATCCACTTACGTTTCTGGTTGGGGTCTAGGCTGTCGAGCGCCTTCTTGAGGTCGAAGATGTGCTGGTAGTAGCAGAGCTGGTTGTACAGCGACCGATCATCGTACTGGGGGTGATACGACGGCAGGTGAGCGCAGGGAACACGGTACGTTCAACACTTCAGAGCGATGGAATACATACTCATCGACGCGGCTAAACCCGACGACAGTGTTAGATCGAGAAGAAGTGAGTAGTCCACTCCACGTTCTGTCTGAATTACCAGGCCGAACAAGTTATCTTCGGTCATATGTCCGACGTACCACAAGGTCCACAAACGACCAAAAAGTTAAAGTGAGCTTTACGAACAGCGATGAGAAACTTTAGACCGTAACGGACTAAATGATATGACTTGACTAGGACTTGAAGAGTCGTGTCATAAACATTCGCCATCACCTCAGACAGCGGTTTTCGAGTGCATACGCCATCAAGCACTGACCTTTGGGATGAGCACGGCCTTGTGGCAGAGGTCACACGTGGGGAATCCCCGCTCGAAGCGAAACGGTATGCGCCTCGTCTCGTGCGGACAGCCCGGGTCCTCGCAGTACAGCACACCCTGTCGGAGGGAGAAAGAGAACTTCAGTTATACGGTGCACACCTCTCGGAAAACAAAAACTTTTGGAATTCACTCAGCCGATTCGTACTGCCACGAAAAGAATCACAATTCAAAATGTGCGACGGATCATCTCGAACGCGACGCACCTGCCAAACCAGTACCAAACAAGGTCCCATTTTTAAGCGGGGACTCACCTGGAGATACTGTCTGACGGCGTTCCTGATCTCCAGCCGCAGCTTGTTGACGATCAGCGGTAGATAATCCACCGGCACCGCTTTACACTCCTCATTATCACACTGGGCCATTCGCAGCTTGTGCGCGCCATCTGTGAACACGCTGGCGAACTTCTGCTGCTGGCGGCAGCCGACGCAGGGCAGCAGCAGCGGCTGGCAGCCGGCGAACCGCTGTGCCTCGGAGACCCCGGTCAGGCCCTGGTGGGAGTCGGGCCCGGTGTCCTGGCGGGCCGCCTGCTGACGAAACTTGGACGGGTCCAGGCCTGTCGACGAGGAACGGCGAGGATTAGTCAGAGATGGAGGCCACAAGGTGGACGATTGTTGAGGCGAACCTCAGTGGGCAAATTTCTACGGGCTCAGCCCCGGTGACTCTCTAGGGTGCCAGTGCCCACACCAATATCTCCCACTAATCCCTATCATCCTCCCGGCTCTGCAATGGTCTCAGTGGACCAAAAGGGCCTAACCCAACAAAACAAACAAAAACAAACCCCTCGCGCAGCCCTCACCGAGCGCCTGGGCGAGTCTGGCGGCGTCGGTTCCCTCCAGCGGCTCCACCAGTCGGCTGACCACCGGGTGGACCTGGCCAGAGAGGTAGTACTCGACGTCCGGCGTCAGCTGGCCCTGGCTCTCCGCCACCTCATCCACTGAGTAGGCGCGCTGCATCGGGTCCAGGCCGCTGTTGTCCTGTCGGGGAGAGAGAGCGGTAAAGTGGTGATTAGAGAAGCCTGAGGCGGGATAGAAGGGTGCAGCGGCGATTAATAACGGCGAGGCGGACGGAAGGTTTGGTAGAATGAGATATAACACTCAGCACTAACACAACCACACCCAGCCTGGTTTACATCACCACATAAATACACGGGAACTCAACACCCACATGCTTACAGGACATCCAGACACAGGTCGACATTCACGAACCTTCCACGCCTATTCCACGCGGCCAGTGGTCCCTCACCTTACAGATGATGTATTGAACGGTGTCACCGCGTCTCAGCTTCTTCCCGCCCCGCGAGTTGACCCTCAGGGCGACGTTCACGTGCGCCTGGCCCTTTTTGTCGGCGTACTCCTCTGGGTTCTTCTTCAGCTGAGGACGGACGAGGAGACCGGTTAGCGAGACCGGCGGGGGTGAAGGGGACGGTTAGTAGGCATAACAGTCATGGCTGGTATCTAGGTAATTTATAGCAGAACAGTCTTCGTACAACATACGATTATCCTGATTTTACGAATTACACGCCAATTAAAGTGGAATATTCAGAAGAGGTTTGTGTTAAGCAAGTAGAATGTAAGTAAAATGGTCAACTGGAGGAGCCGCACATAGGACGGTACCGAGTCACGTTACCGAGGTCCGAGCATCACTTCCACCCAGCCCCCGCTGCGGCTCAGTAACACGCTGTCATGTCCCCAGCTGTACGGCATCGTCTGCGTCAGGCTCACCTCCTTGGTAATGGCGAGCTCGGCCAGCGGCACCTGGCCCTGCTCCAGACGCTGCCGCACCGTCTCCAGATGGGTGTGTATCCGCTCCAACTTCTCGTCATGGTTCAGCGCAGAGAATATCTGGTCGATCACGTAACTGGCGACGGGGAGAGAGATCAATGTGGTCAAACTAGGTAGCTTTTAAAGGATATCGACAACGGAAAAGACGCTCAAGACGATAAACCAAGACGATAAACAAGTTTTGTCGGAATCGATGCAGATCACAACCGAAAGGTAGACATTTTGATTACGGAGCGAGCGAAGCGAGCGGAGTCTTTCCTTGATAAACGGAAATTTCTGAGTATGAGCGGCCGGCCGGCCGTGCGGACGCTTTTGCGAGGCTTATATCTCAGCAACCACTTGACCGATTTACACGCGGTAATTTTTGTAGGGTAGCTTCATTCCTTCTACCAAGTATTGGACTATTCCCGATGCATGTGGGTGACCCCTTATGCACGTGCCACGTGCAAAACGAAGAGGTGACAGTTTTGTAATTGTTGCAATATCTCGGTAACTACTCGGCCGATTGCGCTGAAAGTTGGCATGTAGGTAGGCACCCACTAGGCACTGCATATCCATGTGCCAGAGTTGGGGTGCTGCTGCACGTGCGCACGTGCAGGGGTCGTTTCCAGATCTCGAGAACGGCTGGACCGATGGCGCTCAAATTTGGTACACGGTTAGGGACCAGTTAGTAGGGTGCCGTGCACAAGTCAGTTGGGACCCATTTTGCACGTGCGCACGTGCAGGGTGCCGCTTCCAGATCTCGAGAACGGCTGGGCCGATGGTGCTCAAATTTGGCACATCGGTAGAGACCGGTTAGTAAGGTGCCGTGCACAAGTCAGTTGGAGGTACCCCCCTCGAAATTTCGCACGTGCAAGGCCCACCCTCTCGCTCGCTCCGTTAGTCGCCCCCAAAGGCGTTATACTGGTAAAGTAAAAAACGAAGCTAGTAAACTAGGCAGGTCGAATGTCAAAACATCGGTTAAATATTAGGACAGTGTTATGAGGATCGGCTTGTTCCATGAATTCAGATAAAAAAGTGCACACAACGAATTACAGCTAACAGCGCGGTCACTTAAGGTCACTAAACAAGTGACTCGATTGAGATGTCTGCAAATAAAGCAAATCACGAGCCCCATCCACGAACGCAACGACTCCCGTATCACATCCATGTCACGATGAGCCGGCACTGACGTCCCTTATCAATACACTCATTCCCGCGGCTCGTCTACTCACGTGCCGCAGTTGGCCGACAGCTGACTCCAGTCTCGGCGCACGATATCCAGACCCTTCAGCTCCCGGGTGTACTGGATGACGCCATCGGAGCCGCGACTGGCCGCCACGGCCGCGTACTTTTTCTTCTTGAGCAGAAGCATGTAGCGGTACAGCCCGTCCACATCCAGCTCCAGCAGCTTGTACAGCTTGTTCACCTCACGCTTGATCTGAAGGGGTGTGAGGGCAGATGTCAGAAGCGAATATAATCCTGATGGGCATTCATGGGACTCCAGGTAATAAAAGCGTCATGAAAGAAACATGAGGTGATATTCAGATGTCACTAGTATCTGAGGTACCGCGTAGGTCTTATCGCTAGCAATAATATTCACACTGCTCTTCTGATTTATAATAATTCTAAAGAAGTTTCACAGCATAGCGATGGAAATAAATGAAAATAATACTGAAAACATACCAAGCATTACAGAGGTAAGCCGCGACTCTGGTTGTTAATTAGCGCGGCATGCTCCAGTCCTACATTTATCCGACTCTCTTCTGCCAGACCTCTGACCTCCCGTCCTTTCTCACCTCCTTTCCGAGCTCCATGACCTGGTCGTAGTTGAGCTGGCGCGAGTTGATCATGATGGAGTCGGTGTCTCCGTACACCACCTCCAGGTCCATCCGCTCCACCAGCGACTTGGTCTGCATCAGGATGTCGCGACCCTTGGCTGTGTGGAGGTCGAAGGGGTCAATGCGGGGGTAAGGGTAGGTCCCGGTCCACCAGCGACTTGGTCTGCATCATGATGTCGCGACCCTTGGCTGTGTGGAGAGAGAAGGGGTCAATGCGGGGGTAAGGGTAGGTCCCGCTCCACCAGCGACTTGGTCTGCATCAGGATGTCGCGCCCCTTGGCTGTGAGGAGGGAGAACAGGGTCAACACATGGGTACTTGGTCTGCATCAGGATGTCGCGGCCCTTGGCTGTGAGAAGCGGAGAGCGCGGTCAACGCGGGGGTAAGAGTAGGTTCCCGTCCACCAGCGACTTGGTCTGCATCAGGATGTCGCGGCCCTTGGCTGCGGGGAGGGAGAACAGGGTCAACACAGGGTACTTGGTCTGCATCAGGATGTCGTGTCCCTTGGCTGTAAGAACGGAGAGTGGCGTCAGGGCAGGGGCAATGGGGACGGCCGGGGAGGGTACGGGGTGAACGCGGATGGACTAGGTAGGACGGCAACTCCACATTGTGCCGTCGCTCAGAGAAGAAATGATAGCAACCAGCAGCAGACAGGCGAAGGAAACGTTAAATTATAATTTTCAGCCATCGAAAAATCTACAAACATACCGAATTTTTTTGAAGCAAGAATATCCGCACTTAGTGCAAAACAATCAGAAACACGTCTTCATTTCACGACAAAAGTTTATGCGACGAATTTGGTTCAGAAATGGGCGCTTGTTATGCAGTAGCTGACGCAATAATGTGCGTCGTGAGTCGAGCGTTTACCTGTGATGAGGGCGGCCAGATGTTTGGCGTAGAACCGGGAAGAGTCGAATCCCAGACATCCGTACATGCTGTTGGCGGTCAGCTTGAGGGCCTTTTGGCGCACGTCAAGCTGCAAATAGGCAGTGACGGAAATGGGATGTCAATGTCGGGTAACGAACAAGGGGGCGCTGAGATACCCTCTGATTTCAGCTGGAGACGGGAAAGAGATGTCAGATACAGACAGGCGAGACATGCCGACTTTTCAAGTGCGCTTGCTGAGTTAATTTGGAGCTTGAGCTTGTTGAGCGCCTTTGAAGTGATGTCCTCTGATTTCAATTTCGCGCTTTGACCAAACTGACCCAAGACCCAAGAGCAAGAGCAAAAGCAAGGCCACTCAAGCTATAAAATGTGTTGATGCGCATCGATAGTAAAAAAATAAATACACCCGTGATGCACATACAGCATTTATGTTCACAAGATACAAAACTTCCCACATAAATTCACGAGTCTCGGCATTCGGCACACACCTGCATCATCTCCTCGGGACTGGTGTTTTCGGCCTTCATCAGTTGCTTGACGGCGCGCCGTCGGTCCACGAGCTTCTTGATCTCCATGGGCAGCACTCCGGTCTCCAGGTCGTCGGCGGGCATCTCCAGCGACACCTCGTCGTCCTCGTCCTGCCGTCATATGACAGGTGACGTCACACAACGGCGGTGACTTCATAGAATGGTGGTAACGTCACACGGGTAGAGCAAAGATGTGGGCACAATAATACAGGCAACCACTCCGGGACGACAGACCGCTCACCTCCTGCTTGGTGGGCGCCAGCCGCGGCAGCGTCGTGAAGCAAATGTTGTACTCCTGGATGATGCTGGGGTAGAGCGAGTTGAAGTCCATCAGCAGGATGTAGCGGTCGTAGAAGCCCTTCTTGGGGTCGAGCACCAGGCCGCCTCCGTACTTGGGCTTCCTGCGTCCCTTGGAGTCGGCGGTGGTGGTCTCCGCCGCGTCCTCCTCACCCGGGGCCGGCTCGACGGCGCGAGCGAACTGACGGCACACGGCGCGCATAGTTAACTCACCGGACAAACGCTTTTATCCAGAAATTGGTCGTTGAAACCAAACCAGGTGTTTCTATTCTGACAGTCGCGACTTGAATGAATCACACAATGAATGCCTGGTTATTTGGCTAGAATATCAACAGTGAAGATGAAATAGAGAAAACTACGTTTGTGGAACAATCTTGGGATGCCTTTTGTGAGATTTCCCTAGATCAAATGCAACTCTAATGTAATTTGTGCATGCAATACATGACGACAAGACAGCAGCCAGCCGAAGTTCCAGAACCTCTGCGCTACCTTCACCACCGCTCGCCGTCCCCCGCGGCTCGTCTCACCTTCCTCTTGCCGTACTGTTTGTCGGGCACGATGTAGCCGCGCTCGGTGAAGGCGTGCAGCAGCAGGAACTCGTTCCGCTCGGCCCGGCCGCCCAGCAGGGTGCGAGACATGAGGTTACCGGCCAGACACGTGATCTGGGGGGAAGGGGGGGGGGGAGGGGTCAGCGGAGTGAGATGTTATCCGGGAAACGAGCTTTGGCATGCCAGTTAAGTTATGTTTGGAGATGAGGCGTTATTGACCGAGTTGACTTTTATGACGCCAATCTCTGGCGTATGCCGGTTTTCAGCACGCCTTTATGACGCCAATCTCTGGCGTATGCCGGTTTTCAGCAAATGAACACGCCGACAAAATATGACGTAAAAACGCAATCACATCCCTTTACAAACTTTCAAGAGCTGAGGAGAGCTGAGTACTTAAGACTTTAAGCTTCAATATTCAGCGCAGCGGATCCTGACCTGCAGTGCGAGGGGCAGCGCGTTGAGCTCCGCCAGCACTCGCACGGCGTTGTGCGCCTCCTGCATGGTCATCGTCACCAGGTCCAGGATCGGTCGCGAGCCCGTGAACATGCCCGACACCTTGTCCTGTGACAGGTCCACGATCTCGGCGTCCGGCAGACGCAGAACCTGCGGGACAGACGGGGGGAGGGGGAGACGGACGTCATAGCGGTAATGTCGGCGTATAATAAGCTATGAGTGAGCAAAGCAGAGAAACAGACTAGTCAGTGCAGTCTTATGATTCGAATCAGACACAAAGAATACACCAAATATCAACTGATTATTTTAGTTATTCTTAGACAATAATGTCAACGTCATTAATAAAACGCATGTAACGATTATCGACAGTCATGGCGTCAACGATCGTGAATACCATAACGGATAATTAACTTCGCCTTTTTTCTTGAAGAACTTCGGCTGAAGAGTATAAATCAAAAGCGTTGAATAAACCGAGAAGGTACAAACTAGACTGTACTCCTACAGCCAGCCGTCCGGTGCCGTACCGTTCTGCACAGTTCAGGCAGGTCGTAGCTCTTCTGTCTGGTCAGCTCCTTGGCCGATAGGAAGGTGTCGCACAGCAACCGGCCGCACATGGCACTCCGGCGTACAGAGTCGTCCGAGAATTTCTGCAGACGGAGGTCACGGGCGGTCAGCAAGTGAAAAGACTCAGACGAGACCCTGGGGTCGAAACGACATTTTTAAAAGTGACCTCAGCACACATAAGGAATAGGGGAAAATATGCGTCAATGCTCCGAAAACTGTTCACATCGTGAATAACTATGACCAATAGAAAAATAAAATATTCAACGAGTTACAGAATAACGGCGGGCAATAGATGACTACGGTCTTCTACTAGCCCGCATATTAGCAAATAAATAATAATGCATACAACCTGCACCTACCCCTCCCCAGTCCAGCGGCCCCCTCTGGCACCGTCCTTTGCGACTGACCGTTCTGAAGAGGACGTCGCCGGAGCGCCGGAGCCGCCCCATGTGCGCCCACTGGCCGACCTTCAGCAGCCGACACCGACTCAGCAGCACGTCCAAGTCGAAGCCGTACACGTTGTGACCCACCACGATGTCCGGGTCCAGCTTGTTCATCTGAAAAACGCAGCGGGGTGGGGGTTTGAAGGAAAAGGTAGAAATGAAACTGCCAAACCAAATAGAAGCGCGATTTATTAATGGTCTGATTGTAGTCCGTTATGATGCAATGCTCTAATCAATTACCTTGGCGAGGAAGAACGAGATGAGCGCCTTTTCGTTGACGCATTTTCTGACAGTCGTTGCGGTATATCCCGTCAGCTGCCGGTCAATGTCGTATGGCCAGGCCGCGTCTGCCGGCTTCGTTAGCGCTGTGGGGGAGAGAACCAGTGACATGAGGCGGCAGCACCCTTATCAGTGGCTTTGGTGAACGCAGACACCCTTGTTTATTACCGACAGAACGATCTGACGGGACCGCACCTAACGATCAATATTGCATACTTATCAGCAGCAATCGATCATTTGATACCCATCGATATAAAGGATTTGACAGCGGTGGGATTCGAACCCACGCCCTTTCGGACTGGTGCCTAAAACCAGCGCCTTAGACCACTCGGCCACGCTGCCACGGAAACACCACTGGAGCCGAGCTCTGGAAGGCAGAAGGCTGCAAAGGCTCCTTATTCGCAACTCAAGGCACGCCCCTCGATCATTCACCAGCTCGAAAACCGACGAACGCCTCCCCGGTCACCCCAACCTAACCCTCCTCTCCGCGTCTCCCTTCTCGCGATAAGACACCCACCACAAAAATGCTGCTGGAAGAGGGGTGTCGGCGCGGCGGCGTCCAGTCGGAACTCCTTATGCACCAGACAGGAGACGAGCACCAGCTCGCTCTGATGGGTACGCGAGTTCACCACGGTACGTGTGGCCAGTGTGAGCACGGTGAGCGGCGGCGGAGGCGCCGTGGTGGCCGACACCAGGCCCGGCTGCGGCAGGGTGGCCGCCGCCTGTCGTGCGGAGAGGTGACGGGTGTCAGCGGGTAAACATCGAGATGGCCTAAAAAGTGTCAGTGCGTGAGTCAAAGGTCAAAGGCCAGTGTGTGGTGATTATGCTATCACTGACAGTAAAGTGTTCAACAACCTACACATTACATGACCTCAATGACATACACACCTCACCGTTCCGTGCTTCTGTCCTCAGGATACTGAAATCCTTCTCCTCCACGCCGCGACCCCCCTCCGGGCTGGACAGGCAACTTTATCTCATGCGGGCTGCTCCCTTGGAGCGGCACCGCTGCTCCCGAGGGAGCGCACCCCGTAGCCGGGTGCAGTGAGTGCCTTGGGGCTGGGTGGCCTGTCCTCTGGACGGGCTCAGCCCCGGCGACTCACTAGGGTGCCTGCCCAGACCAATGTCTCCCCCTATATCCTATCATCCTCCCGGCTCTGAAATGGTCTCATTGGACCGAAAGGGCCTAACCCAACAAAACAAACAAACAAACAAACAAACAAACATACACACTTGAAGTTCAGTTAAAGTTCGACTATAACTGCCGCGAAAGACACTCGACGCATCGCAAGAATTACTGTCCCGTGTCTCACACTAAAACATTTCACAGTATGGTTTCACAAGCCGACACAATTACAGAACAAAGTCTCAATCAGTGATTAAAAAAGAACGCTCCGACCTCCCGAGCAGCGAAGACTTACCTCGATGGTGCAGAAACTGAGCTTCTGCTGGGGTATGGCCGGGTTCTTGACCTCGAGCCAGCAGGGTCCTTTGACCTTGTTGCCGATGAGGAAGGCCTCCAGGGTGCTCGTGTTGGCACCGAACACGTGACTGAAGGTCTCACCCTCCAGGTTCTGAGGCAGCGCCTGGTACTGCGACTGAAACGGAGAGAAACGAAACGATGTGAAATTAATTCTAATCTTCCTTTACATCACAGAAACAATCATTGTAAGCTGCACTCTCATCGTTTCAAACTTTCTATCAGCACTTAAGTATTTGGCGAAGGATGAAATCGTAAAGAAATATTACGTACAAGACGTGTACTTAGCTAGCGTACGCTTCGTGGACATTTTACATCGTCAATTCAAAACAAGTTATCAGACCAGCGGAAAATATGTCTGAACCAGACAGTGACTCGCTGAAAACTGCTTTCAGTGCACACATCCCCGCACGCCCATCCCAAACCCCAACTCACAGAATACATAACCTCCAGGTAGTCGGCCTGATTGGGCACCTCGAACTTCTCGAACGCGTAGCTCTTGGTGGAGACTTTGGAGCGGAACTCTGCGATCTTGAAGCGGCTGGCGATCTTGTTGTTGAACTCCTCGTAGACGTCCTTCATGGTGATCTCGTCTCCCTCCTCGCCAGTGCGCGGGTTCAGTCGCTGGCCGGCGGACATTTGATGCGTTAAAAACATTTACAATGCGTATCGATAGAAATTAGCAGGCAGTCTGATATTGCGTAGGTGGGAGATTAGATAACAGCTCAACGTCTTAAATCATAGTCTCATTGTCCTTTACGCTGTTATGGTGAAATGGGTTTTAAGGACGCCTCGGCAAAAAAGGCCATTCGACCATCTGCGCCGTTACCAACCACTCACCCGTTTTCTCGGCAGGAGGAACACCCGTCGGGGCACGTTTGAGATGCGCACGCAGCAGGACACGTAGGCTGAGGCCGATTGTACCCAGACCCGACCGAACAGGTACACAACGCTGTTCGTGGATGCGTTATCGCAGTACGCGTCCAGCCAGAAGAACCTCAACACCTGAATGGGGAGATACGGTGCGGGTCAGGTCACCCACGAAAAGACTTCGAACGGTCAATAATGAACGTTTGGTTCTCAAATCTTTAAATGTGACATGTTCGGCAATACGGCGTTGGCGAGCATGTGATGATATTAACAAAATGTCAGGGCTACCAACCGATCATCATGAAAATCAAAAGCAAAGAAATATGAACAAATGACACTGACTATATTGACATCAATCAAACGCCTCAAACAACCACTACCATCACTCGCGCTCCACTGTTCAAAGTCCCTTGCTCCCCACCTGATCTCCATTGGCGTTCGTGGTGAGCGGCAGGGATGACGCGTCTACCACGGTATCGGTGGAAGGAGGCGGATCCACGCACAGCTGGGTGGTTCGCTGCCACTCAGAGGTCACGTCCGCCGCCGGCTCACTGAGGCAGAGGTCAATGCGGGTCACGGCAGGTCACATAAGGTCAGACATTCGGGCTACGTCAGGCGCGTGGGTTATCGGTGGACAGCAACTAATGGCTGTCTAAAACAACTCACAACAATGTTTGATTGGAGTTGCCTTGGTAATAAGAAACTTTGGAGCGTCCAATGAGCTACCCGATCAACACATTCAAAGCTGTGTGACCACGCGTACGGAATAATATAACGATAACTCGCTAGACTCACGTTTTCACTGGTTTGACCTCGGCGACGGCGGGGACGGCTACGTCTTCCTCCAGATCACCGTCCGGCAGATCCATGCTCTCGAACATTGAGTCGTCATCCTGGATCAGGGCCTCGGCCGCCTCCCGTTCCGCGTGCTGTGAGTCACAGATCGATACGTGATCGCTAGAGCTGGTGGGGAGGCGCAGCTTCCCCTCATCACTACCTCATTGTATCCTTACGTAGATGAAATATAGCACAGAGTTAAAGCTGCCATGTTTATGCACATAATTAGGTTCTACAGTAGGACTACAGCTGTTGTTGACAGGCGAATCAGAAATGAAGGTGCGCTCTCACTTGACACTATAAAATCTAGAGACAATAACGCTGCCTACAGCTTTCACGATTATAGTTTTTTTAAGTTACATTAACGACAAAATAAGGCAATCGTTTCGCTCGGCCGCCGAGCAGTGACGCCCACCATTCAATACAACGGTGTTCCGTACCTTGTCATCAGGCTCTTGAGTCGCAGGGAATTCCTCAATCAGCTGTGAAGCCGGGTCGCTGTTCTCCTTCTTAATTGGCTGCAAAACGTCAAAAAAAAGATAATCAAACCGTTGGACTAGCTGCAGGTAACAATACGCCCTCAAATCACGCTGCTTAAGGCCTTAAGGGCCGGTTTCTTTACATTGCAGTCGGGTAAAGAGACAAAATTACCACCACCCAATACACATCGATTTGTCTGATTGAGCCCGTACACATGAAAACTGAAGTCTGTGTCGATTTTTCGAATCAGCTCGAATCACCTACCGATTCTGTAAGGGCTCGTCTTTCGAACCTGTACTGATCCGTCAGTATCATTCGAAGCTTCAAGCTATCCACATTATTAGCATCCCTACCCACCCGTCCGTTGACCCTGGGCCGCTCCGTTCTCGCTACGGTCGATGTGCGCGCGACAGGCGTCGTCTTCAGCTGAGTCAGCGAATCCCGGGACGCAGACGGCGTCAGCGGCTTCTTCGCTCTGAAACGAGGAGACATCAGGCAAGGAATAAATATTACAAAAGGTAGTGCCAGATTAGACATAAACGGTGAAGTGTAATTGCTGTGGTGAGCAAACAGCCAAAATTTTGATCTTTATTTTTCACCAAATCCATCTCTGGCGACTAGGTAAACTTACAGGGCCGCTGCGCCGGGGACCGGTTTGCGTTTGAGCGTCGGGCCCTTGGCGGCGATGGCCGGCGACGCCTTGATGTCCTGCAGGATGTTCTGCAGATCGGTATCCTCTTCAAGCTTGACGTCTTTGCGCGGCTGGAATGGCAGGAATGGTATACGTGAGAGCTGCAACCGCACACTTATCGAAATCAATGACGACCGATGCTGCTATTGATGTAATAAATATGTCTTCAGCAATTATCGATTAGCTAACAAGACCTTTATAAGCTACCTCAACTTTATCGATATAAGCAACTACGCGACATAGCGGAGACCGTTCACGATGGACATACCTTTTTGCCTGGCATGTTGAGCAGCATGTCCCTGATGTTGCTCTTCTTGGGCTGCGACGGATCTCGTACGCGGCTGTTGGACTTTCTCTTGGCCCTGCTGGCTCCGCTGCTGCTACCGTCGTCCACGATGTCGTCATCGAATATCTCCCGGCCGTCTTCGACGTACCCGTCGCCGCCACCTGATCAAGCATATTCATCACTCAGCAGTCACCAGACGCGACGGCCGACGCACACCTCTTGTTTGTTTGTTTATTGGGGCATTGGGACGCACCGACTACAAGGTCATTTTGCGTCCAACAACACACACCCCTGGTATAGCTGGTATGCACCTACCTAGCAACCACAATCTACAAGCTATCGTCCGCCCACAATTCCACAATCAGTCCATCATCAGCAATCAACCACCTACACTGATCCACTAGCTATACAAATCCACGAACCATCGTCCACAATCCAGTCGTCCTCGAGCCGCTCCTGGACGCGCCGCGAGTACTCGCTCTCGTCGACGACGTCGTACACCCGGTCGTCGTCCGTGACTTCGTACTTGTTCTTCTGACCACTGCGGATCTTGTCCAGGGCGGCAGTGCGTCCCGTGTTTTCACGGCGAGAGCGACGCGAACGGCCCGCCGCGAGGCCCACGTCTGCGAGAGGGACAGATGAAGCAGGGATGTAAGAAAATTGTGTGGATTAGTGCAGGGTCCAATACTCTCTAGGCATGTAATTGTGAATTGCCTAAATGGTTGTGGGATGGCAAATAGCTGGTATGCATTACCCTGCTTTAAAAAGCTGGTAATGCATACCAGACTAAAAAGTAGAAACAATGAGACAGTAACAAGGAAAAGTGTTTAAAGTGAGATAGCAGAGAAGCTAAGCAGCGTGTTTCAAAGGATACAGCTTTTAAAAATAGAAAATGGAGCAGTTACCAATAGCTTAACAAGTAGCACAGAAAGTAGCTGTTTGAAAAAGAATTATAGTGGTGGGCGCAACACTCACCCACCAATTTAGTGCAAAACAGTGGGACATAATCTTTGGATGCTCTACTACCTAAGTTAGGGCATATCAAATATTTTGTCCCTTCTTCATTCATACACCGTGGTGCTATCCTAAATTTACCTGATGTCTTCTATGAGACTTTGGTCCAAAGAGGACTATCTACTCTCCTTGCAGTCTAGAGACATGATACTGGGCATCAGGTGATGGGCTAACAAAACAATGATGTTCACTATGTGAATACTATTCACTATTGTACTATTGGTCTTAAGAGAAGGGCCCAAGCGACCTGTATACTTGCTGCGGTGAATACCCTTACCCTCGCCACAGCTCAGCTCGGGCCGAGTGCACCCCTCTTCCCACCCAGCTCCACCCCCACTCGAGTTGTGATGAGGGTGAGGGTATTCTTTCATGGCATCCGAACCTCCTAGGTTGTCTGGGCCCTTATCTTGAGACCAATAGTACAATGAAAGAATATTGCAAACTGGCTGAGCCCCTCAGTGCTAAAACATTTTGTCATAAATGTCATGCTCGCAGACTGATTTGGCAGGAGCCTGGGCCCTGTTCGGTCGCTGTTTTTAGATCAGCGTGCTGTCAGTTTTCCCATATAAGGAAGTTATTGCTGGTGCTTCTTAGCCTCTCATTGGTCTAACAAATAGACCACTTGAATTTGACCAATGAGGAGCCAAGAAGTAGCAGCATGCTTGCAGCCTGCTGATAAATAAACAGGGGGTGAACAGAGCTCAGGAGTCTGTACGTGTCAGGCTTTGCAGCACGCCACAATGAAACAGATCAATCTATTGATAGATAGGTCAGCAAACAAAGCGAGACAAGGTTGATAAGATATGAAGGTCACCATGGCACCTATCATGCTAAAGCAAATAGGGATGCATACAGTCATTTGTAATGTTATTATAATCAAATGACATTATGACCACTGGGACTGGTTCAACTTTCATCACATGCATTACAATATGCAAATACACAAAATAAGATGAATAAATCTTACCATCAGAGTCTGCCATTTCAGTGAGCCTTAAATGGCAGATAATCTTATTTTGTTTACCAGCTCCTCACTCCCTTTTATTGAAAAAACAAGCGATTTTCCAATGGCGATTTTCAATCATCCCAAGAATCATCCACTGGCCCCAGTGTTTGGCGCCAAATACAGGTTAATAAAAAAGTATTCCATATGAAGTTTACTTCAGTCGATGAAAGTTTCCCTTCATTTTTAATTGTCTCACATTCTTCACATATGTCTACAAACAAGAACTTACTGTTCAGATCAAACAACATTTCCTTGGTTGCCTAGCAACTCACAAAAAGATCTTCAGTAGCCAGGCAATTTGCTATTACTGAGCGTAGCGTCTTCGAAAATGAACACAGAAGTATAAGGAACGTTTTCCTTTGTGAGTACCAATGGGTGCTTGCGGCAGGGTATATTGCTTGCGGTGCTTGCATATAGGTGCTTGGGGTGCTTGTCAACTAGTAGCAACAATTGCTCGTAACACTGCTTCCTGTTGATTGTAGTTACCTATAATTTGGAATTACGTTCACCGTGATTCCCCGTTAGTGTTATAGCTCACCATTGCTAGTTGTTGTCTTTTAGTCCGTGCCAAGGTGCTGAGGTCATGCTTCTTTAGCTCGACCTGTTTGTTTTTTTGCTAGGTAAGTTCTCATCTCAGCATCCCATTATTACCAATATACCAGATGTCGACATCTTCCTGTTATTCATTACTCTGCATCTCGCGTGGTGTATCATACTATCATGGCACTGCACTGCGCGCAGCAGCAATTGAGTTTCCCCATGAAAACATCAACTCAACTTGGGTGCTTGCAACACCGAAGTGTCCAGCAGAATTCGTCTCAACTGCTGCAACAATACAGCAGAGCACTGCAGCGTTGGGCCATGAAGCACCACCTTGATAACTATTTTCATATTAGCATGTCACAGTTTTTTCTGAACCTGCTAAGCTCTAATCTGATCTAATGGTTCAAGTTGCTTTCATGACATCTAACATGGATATTAAAGGAAAAGGGCCACCTTCGTGAAATATGAAGATATCGTTGTTTTTCATTTTGACATTATTATTTTTCATTTTCTTTTTAAAACTGGTGCCAGAAGTGCACAATTCGCGAAAAAGTATTTAAAACTATTTAACATATTGGTACTATGTTGATACTCTCTACGGCACCTACTGTATGATGGCATAGCGATGACGTCACACTCAAGCCAATCAGCGTTCAGAAGACAGACTCGTCGGATTGTGTCAGATAAGCTGATTGGTTAAAGCTGAGCTGGTTGGAGCTGATTGGTAAAAAACCAAAGCCTCGCCGCGGGTGACTGTATTGTCGGATAAGAACGCATTCCTGGGATAAGGACGCATTCCTGGCGTATTTTCTTTTAAAATTGCCGATAACTACGAATGGAGGCCGAAATCGGCCGTAAGGAGGAAGACAGATAGGTTTTCGGACACGGGCTACAAGATGGCTATCTCAGTTTCAATCCCCATGTTAAAGGTGGCCCTTTTCCTTTAAGAACAATAAAAATTGCTCTTCAACCAAGCCTAACAAAACTCACCATCTTAACCAAACTAGACCAACTTCTTCCACTTACCAAACAATGACAGTCTCTGTGTCATATTTCTTTGTACAAATCGTATCTATCATTTCTTCTTTTTGTAAATTTCCATCTCCACATTTTTTATATTGCATTGATTTGTCTGATATTTCTTTATGGCACAATGTGGTTGTTCATTTCTTAGTAGGGAGGTCTAGGGAGAGGAACTTTGTCACTTCCTTAGCTCCACAAATTGTCATCCTCAGTTATGGTTTGCTTGATATGATTGTTTTATTTTTCTTAAAACATTCCTGTGCACAGATGAAATTTTGGTATGCATATGTCTTTGTCAACTATTTTACATTTTTCATCAGGATTATTTATTCAATAAGTGGATGATGCTGCTGTTGTTAAATTTTCCATCTTATTTCCAGTGGCAGAGCAGGATTAATGTTTAGTTTCTACTGACACTTTTGGCACAATATTTTCATTAATAATGTCATGAATAGTATTTTCAGACTGTCTTGCCTGTCTTCCAGTGGTCGTCATGGCAGGGCGCCACTCGCGGAAGAGTGACTCGGACTCAGACTCTAGTCAGTCACCGTCTCCGAAGCACTCCGGCTCGTCACGACGCACCGCCGGTCGGTCTCGCCACTCCTCTGCCAGCTCTGGTTCAGACTCTGACTCTGACTCCTCTGGTGACCGGCGGCCGACGGAGCGGCGACGAGACGGCGACTCGGCCAAGCGAGGATCGTCGCGACGTTCGCGCTCGCCGGTCCGTCGTGATCGACGCAGTCTCTCCCGTGACCGGCACGCCAAGCACGGCGACAAGGATCGGTCGCGTCGGCACGGCGATGACCGTGATTCGCGACGGTCGGACTCCCATCGCCGAGAGAACGGTAGTGATCGGAAGGATAGGGAGGAACGTGGTGATAGGAGGGACCGCGATGATCGAAAGGAGCGGAGTGATCGACACGAGCGTGATCGTGGGGACCGCAAAGATCGCGAACGTGATCGTAGTGGCAAATATGATCGTGAGGACCGGAAAGATCGAAGTGATCGGAAGGACCGGGGTGAGCGTGAAAACCGGAAAGATCGCAGTGAGAGAGATGATAAGAAAGAACGGAGTGAGCGAGATGATAGAAAAGATCGGCGTGAACGGGACGATCGGAAAAACCGACACGATCGCAGCGATCGCAAAGACCGCGGTGACCGTAATGGGCACGAACGCAGTGACCGAGCTGACCGCGAGGTCAGGTCACGTGAGGTGAACGGTGAGCACGCCAAGCGCGGCCACCGCAGCGCGTCTCGCGAGGGGGGCAGTCGGACTTCACACCGGCGGAGTCGGTCTCGCGAGCGGGACCGATCGCCGCACCGCCGCGAGGGGACCGTCCCGAAGCACGGGTCACACCACCGGCAGTCCAGTCCCCCGGCTGACGGCGACACCAAGCGGCGGTCAGGCGAGGCGAAACATTCGATCAACGACGACAGGTGGCAGCACCGTTCGCCGTCGCCGCAGCAGCCGGGCGAGTGGAGCTGGGGCCCGCGGGTGCAGCCGGACCGCCGCCGGCCGCCGCCGCCCGCAGACTTCTTCTCTGAGAGGCGCGAGCAGAGGATACGAATCAGCGAGCGGGGAGTGCCCGAGGCCTGGGGCCGCTCCCCGCCCCGGGAGGAGGCCGAGATAGAGTGAGTGATGCCAACGTGCGGACGATAAGTGGGACACAAGTATAATATTCATGCCTCAGTTGTATAGAAAATCTGATACACTTTAGAGCTAAGGTTTTCCTTGCATATTGAAGGGCTGTATAGACCTCAAAAGAGGTTCTTAGGCGGTTTCAGTGGAAGCCTATTTATTCCAAAACGAATGAACTTGAACGAATAACGAACGAATCTGATATGTGAACTGTGCGTAGTTTAGTTAGTTGAGCATCTCTACCAGCTCGTATTCTTTGGCCGTTTACGCATCTCGCGAGGTATTGTCTTAGGAGCTGATTCGTTAAGCGTTTCCTGAACAGATCATTTCACTGTCGACATGGTTTCCTTTCAGCTCGGATCTAAATAGTCCGAAGCCGGAGCCGGAGTCAGGTTCATCTGACGAAGAGGCGGAAAAGGTGAAGAAAAAGAAGGCGAAGAAGGAGAAGAAAGCTAAGAAAGACAAGAAGAAGAAGAAGAAGCGAAAGAAGAAAAAGAAGAAGGCCTCGTCCTCGTCCTCTAGTGAATCAGAGATAGAGGAGGGCCAATGGGTAGAGATAGGAGGTAAGTTTGCGACCCGCTCTTGTGCAAACATGATGACCATACTCAGTCTTTGGTCTAAGCTTCGTTCAATGAATGGTGTTCCCCCGTTACACAATCAAACTAGTGTCTGAGTGCAGTTGATTTTATCTTTGGTGATTGTTCGACAATTTCTGTCCAGCTTCTCAACTCCGACCCGCCTATAGCTATAAACCTGACCCATGTCTTCCTCCAGCGTCGGTATCCGGCACCGGAGAGGGCGCGTCGGCGGGTGTCGATGATGATGCGTTCGGACCCATGCCCAAGGAGAAGGTGCAGCTGTCCAAGAAGGAGATGGGACAGGCCCTGCTGCCTGGAGAAGGTACGACTCGGTGGAGCTTGCGATGCTCGAAATCTGGCGATTACGCTCGTGATGCGGGACATAAATTCAACGTCTTGTTTGCATCTCAATATCTATTAAACGTAAACTGGCCGAGGTGCCAGATGCCAACACCTTTATAAATGTGCTGCGAAATTCTGCAGGCACCTTTCTTCAATCTTTACATTAAATTTTTTCAACGAGCATGTTGTCTCGAAGGTTTGTTTTCATTGGGCACTATCCCGGACAAAATTATTTTCGTTCGACCGCGCCCACCGTTTCCTGAATCTCCCACCTGTACTTATATTTCGTGTGCTGTGACTGACGGGGCGGCGTTTCGCGGCGCAGGTGCGGCCATGGCGGCGTTCGTGGCCGAGGGTAAGCGCATCCCGCGCCGAGGAGAGATCGGCCTGACCAGCGAGGAGATCGCCTCCTTCGAGGCCAAGGGATACGTCATGAGCGGCAGCAGGTTCGTGACATCGAAAGGAGCGTGCATGGTTTGCGAGGGGAGAATGACAGGCTTCTGAGAGAAGGTTTGGAGATATTTGTGTCTTTTCAGCTAATAGACGACATTCCTTCTAATGCCCAGGGCTCTTCCTTCGTTTCTTCAGTCGATTCAAAATGTTGTTATATAAACGGCAAACAAAATCCCCTTGTTCTTAAGAAGGTCTTGTTAATGACGCGGTTATCAGTGAGGCTTTCGTGATTCATTTCAAGGGCTTTGTGCCAAGCTTTGCAATCGCCTGATTACATCATTCAGGCACACGATGCTAGAATGTCGTTGCTGTTTATTGTCGGGCTGCCTTTGTTTCACAAAAGACGTTGCTTATGACCAATCCATATTACCGGATTAGATGGGTGCAATTATACCAAAAGGTAATAGACATTTGAGTTGTCTTGTGTTGCGGGCATAAACTACTGAAATGTATTACATATTTGATATTTCAAACATGTCAGAAATATTTATTGTTCGTGGTCCGAAGATTGTAATCAACGAAAAGACTTATTCCAAACCAAATATTACGTATTTTAGGC